TTTATAGGAGCCAATACAGAAAGAGACAGAGCAGCGTCTAGAGTGACTTAACAGTGTAAATGAAGAAATTGCCATGCTCTGAGTTACTGAAAACCCAGTGATGGTCTCAGAGAGTGGGTATTGGGACAGTCCTCCCTCCTCAGGCAGAAGGGCAGGGGACTGTCTTCGCTTCTCTGATGCAGTCACTGTGGCTTTGCTTCTTTGGGACCAGGGAGGGCTCAATCTGGGTTTGGGGGACGGCAGTGTAGACAAAAGGCCTCTGTGAAATGGACTTTTTAGAAAGTAACTGCCCAGACCTCAAAGCTCACGTATATAGGTTTGGGGCTTGTGGGCCTCTTTACAAATACAGGCTCCCTAACCAAATACTAGCCTGCCAGGACCCCTCCATGCTCTCACTACCATTGCCCTGAATTATTGCGACAGCTTTCTCAGGGATTGTGAACCAGAACCCAATTGTGCTGAAAATTGTCACAGGCTGGAAGTTTTCTGCTAATGAATGTGGCCTTAAAGGGACAGCATACACAATGACTAAAATGATTTAAATGTGTTAATAAAGTCAGTCTTGAGAGGCAACAAGACCCTGGTCAAATACTGTGTCTTCCATCATGCCAGAATTAAAAGAGACATTGCTCTTTTCTATCAGTAATCGATCAGCTATTTCAGAGGGATGGAAGAAAGCCAGTGAGCTTTAGGAGGCATAAAACCAACTTGATAGTCAGATTTAGGGCTGAAAGGAACCTTAGAGATCAACTAGTCCAACCCTTTCACTTTACAAATGAGGAAACTGAGGCCCAGAGAGGCCCAGTAATTGACCCAGGTCATACAATTAGAAGGGGGTAGAGTTGGGTCTTGAACAAAGGTCCTGTGACTCCACGCCTAGCTTTTTTTCATATGTGTGTGTGTATGTATATGTGTGTATATGTATTATATAGAGACATGTATGTATGTATACATAGAGATACATGTACATTTATATATGTGTGTATATATATATATATATATATACCTAATATATACATATCTGCCACAATGCTGACTGGTTTTTAAAAAATAGCTTTTGTTGTTTACTTCTTACTGTTTTATTCCCTGTAATTATGCTTGAAATCAATTCACTGATTTCTGTTTACACGTAGCTCTGCATGTAACCCACCACCCAGACCATCAGCCTGAAGTGTAAACATTCTTGGGTTGCTGAACCAGCTTTGGCCATGCCAGAAGGTCAGGGACTAGAAAAATTCTTTCTCAACTCTTAATTGAGGTTCTGTTGCATTTTGGGTCGGTTGATAATGGATGGATGAGGAGGAACCACAGAATCAGAAATTCAGAGCTAGGAGGGACTTTCAGAGATCTTCTGGTCCAGTCTTCTGATTTTACAGAGGAGGAAACCGAGGCACCGAGAGGAAGCGGTCCCACGGGGGTTAGTAGGGAAGCCAATCTCTGAACTGGGGCTCCCCGGCCCCAAATCAGGGCTCTTTGCATCCCTCCACAAAGTTAAGGGGAAAAATGCTCGTTTGTAGCAGAAAGAAAGTTGAGTGGTTTGTGAAGGCTGCTGTTAAAATTAATTTACGATTCACCAGCAGATTGTTATTCCACAGGGATAGCAAACAGGCCTGGTTGTAGCAGCCACATGGGATAGATTCACTTTAAAAAATCATTGCTTTGCTTGTTTTTTTTTGTTTTTGTTTTTGTCATTAATATACAAATCCAGGTTCTTTGTGTCTGTCCCCATTTAGTGAGCCCCTCCCTATCTAACCCCCTCACCAAAAACCCTACCAGACATACTTTTTTCCTCCTTCTCTTATAGATCTATCTCCATACCTTGCCTTGCTTAGCTTTCCTTCATAATCCCAGTTTACCCAGTGTCGACTGGAATCAAGCACCTTACCCTGAGGTTTCTGCGACCCATTTAGTCCCAGATCTTCTCCGGGCCAGTAGAAACCATCTGGCCTGTTTCCATGCCCACAGGCCTCTTGTCTTTTGTTCCCATGGGTACTATCAGTGCCTAACATATTGTTTCTCCTCTTTAGAGTTTCTGCCACTAGCATCAAAATCCCCTCCATCCTTTGCCAGATCCCTGTTTCAATTCAGGACTCACCCTACTTTACCACCAACATCCCTGTGGGCCCCCAATCTAATTCTGAACCTGAAAGACTGGGCAAAGAAACTGGGACAGACCCGGGAATTTCAAGTTCAGAGATCACTGGCACTATGACACCTTTTTACCACTGAACCCCACAGCTATTGCCCCAGTTGGCCTTTTCCTCTTTCTCCCTCTTTATGTAGGGTCTTGCCCTTTTTTTTCCATTTTACTTTAATTTTTTCATTCTGAACCTAAGAAACACCAAATATAATGAGCATTTCAATATCCACTATGCAACAGAAGGAAAGGATTGTACGTGAAATTGCAAATCTCTATGATGTGGATCCTGTTTTTCTTCTTAGATACATAATAAATTCAACATGTAACTTTTAAAGATGTCCTGCTTGTCTGTGATTCCTTCTGGCCTTCCTTCTGTTCCCTACTCATTTTCAGGGGTGAGGGGGTGGGGAGGAGGCTATCCCTAACCCCCTCTCTCTCCCACCTCCCTGCCAATGGAAAAAAAAGAAACACAAAATCCTTGTAACAAATATGAATAGTCAAACGAAATAAATCCCTACCTTGGTCATGTCCAGAAATGTCTCATTCTGCATCTTGGGTCTGTCACTACCTCTTGTCAGGAGGTGGATAGCATTGGTCCTCAGTGGTCCTCTGGAGTCATCATCAGTCATTGCACTGAGCAGAGTTTTAAGTCTTTCAAAGTTGTTTGTCATTATAGTGTTGTCATTTTTGTATGAACTGTTCTCTTCTATCTGCTGGCTTCACTCTGCATTGATTCAACTCAGGCTTCTCTGAAACCACCATCCCTTTCATCATTTCTTTTGACATGCCATTATATTCATGGATCATGTAATTTGTTCAGTCAAAGAGATTAAAGGTACCCCTTTAATTTGTGATTCTTTGCTACTACCAAAAAGGTTACCATATTTTTATATTTTGGGAAATATGATCTACTTTGCTTCTTCCTACCAGTGTGACCTTCAGCAGCTGATTTTTTTTCTCTGGGCCTCAGTTTCCTCATCTGTAAAACAGAATTTTGGACTAGAAAATCTCGGACATCCCTTGTACATCTCTGGTTTTAAATTGAAATAAGTAGATGAGGTTCTGATCTTGGAAAGAGCGTGGTTCTGTAAATCAAGAAATGTAGGTCTCAGACCCGGCCCCATCATTTCCATGCGTATCTCAGAGCTTTAGTTTTCTCATTTGTAAAATGTGGATAAGGAAAGCCCTGTCTACTCATGAGCCTGTATTGGGCACTTTATAAAAATAAAGCACTTTCATGAAAGAGCATTTATTAAGCACTTACTGTGTACTGGGCACTGTGCTAAATACAGTGGGGTACAAATACAAGCCAACAGTCCTGGCCCTCAAGGAGTAAGAATACCATGATTAGAGGATGACAGTACATAGGAAGGAATTAAGAGGTGGGATGGGACAGAAAAAAGGATGCATGGAGCAGTGGCTCTGGTCCAAGCTACAGATGGTGACTACTCACCGGTTAGAAGTCGGAGTCCCAGAGAGGGAGCTCGAGTTCTGGCTCTGCATAGAAAGAGGACTTCGGGGAGTGTGGCTGGGAAGCAGCCATTATGTGACTGTTATTTGTTATTATTTTTCTTCTTAAATTTCTTTAAAAGCTTTCTGAAAGCCAAAGGCCCTGGAGTCAACTGAGCCAAGCTCAAAGCTGAGCTGGGTGTGGAGGAGCTCGGGTGATGTCCGACAACTGGACCCACATCCCAACATCTCATGCAGCTCCTGACACCCTACCCAGCTCGCCTTCTCCAGCTGAGCAGGCTGGACACTGATCACTGCTAAGATTGACCCCCTTCTTCCTCACTTTGTATGGATGCATAATGAGGTGTTTGGACCCAGTTTTTTTCCTTTCTTTCCCTTGTCTTTAGAACCCAAAAGCAAGGCCTGACAATAGAAAGGCCATTCAGCTAAGTTCAGTTGAGCTCTACACAGTGATAATCACTCAATCTCCTGAAAGGGCTACTATCGCCCCAGCCATCTAGCATTGACTGTAACTATCCATAAGCATTAATGCTAGAGAAGGAAAAACCCTAAAACCTTCCCTTTTGAGGTTTGGGTTATGAATAAAAATTAACTGTTGATGCCGGAGGTCATCATGAGCCTTCTGGAATAGTGGTTGGTCATTACGTTGATCACAGTTACTAAGTCTTTCAAAGTTTTAATGGAAGTATTGTAATCTGTTTGATTATTCCCAAATAATTTGTTTTAATAGAAATTTGTTTCTGTCGTTTTTTATAAAACTACTGAATTACATATCATTTATTAGGGATGGGGACTGGATCCAGGGTTGCACTGACATGAGTAACTCCCAGGTAAGGAGACTTACCAATGGCAAGTCTCAGAAGGATGCCCAGAGCACTGAAAAATGTTCACTATTAGTTTTTATCCCTCATTGGTTTGTTTTTTAAATAAACCTGGAAATTGAACAGAAATAGAATCAAAGAGCTGAATAGGAGCTTAAAGATCATTTAGCCCAACCTCCTGATTTGACAAATGGGGAAACTGAGGCCCACAGAAATTAAGAGACTTGCCCAGAGTTACTCAGAGGGTATGTAGGAGAGCTGGATTTGAATGCAAATCCAGTGTTAGCCTTTGTTTTCCATGTGCTTAGGTAAGCAGATTTTCAGATTTAGAGAAGACTCTTTTTACTTTGTAGTCAAGAAGTATGCTAAGTAATGGGGAAGTGTGGGTCCGTGGGTCCTTTCAAAGGCAGAAAATTTCTCTGTTTCTGCCTCTTGGATGATCAGTTATATGCGCTTTGTGTGCATTTTATAAACAGCACATGTACATATTATGCACGCCTGTATTACATTCTATTTGTTCATGGAATAAACAACTGCTGAAAAACCAAAACAGTTATTTTCATTAATAGGTGAAACTGACATTTGAAATTGCAAACTCGGGGCAAAAAGAAACCATTCAACCCAAACAGAAGAAGGCCCAGACAACGGGTAGTGATTTAGTCAGACTCCTCTGGGGTGAAGAGGTCCAGAATCTTCAGCAGAATCTCCAAAGCACCCCTCACATCATCATGTATCTCACTCTCCAGCTGGACTCTGAGACATCGAAGGAAGAGGTAGGTGTTCTGGAGCAGGTCCCAGGGAGAAAATAATGAACCGCCGAAGAGGTACTTTCCAGGGTGTGAGTTAGTAATCACTGGAAATAAATTCACTTTTTTTTTAAATCACTTTGAGTAATGGAGCTGTAGGAGAAGGCAGAGAACTGTGTCAGAACTCGATTTTCTTAATTGCATAAATAAACGTCATAGTCCACTGGGTGTCTCATTGGAAGTCTGACTTGAGTGACCTCCTGCATGGAAGAGTGAGGGCTTGGTTAGCACTCAGCCCAGAGCCCCGAAGATGAGCTCCTCTCAGAAGGAATAAATCTTCTGCCTTTATATTCTCATTTGGAGAAAATGGTTGGATTTTTTTCCTAGCTGATAATACGCAGGTGAAAACTAGCATGCAGCCTGTAAAGCCTAGAAAATGTACCCATTTGGGGGCATATAATAAATGAGAATTAAGGAACATAGAGTCCATATGAACTTTCAAATCTTAAATTTCATGGTTAATTTAATGTCGATGATCTATTCTTTGTCTTCTTAATGAATGATGTTTAGATTGATTACTCATCTCTCTTTCAATGACCCATTAATACCAAAAGGTTAGAAATATGATAAATAATTTATAGGTGATTTAGAAATCCCATAGTATAACAGAGCTCTTAATTCCTAAGAACAATAATAAAATTTAAGTACTTAGGTTCCAAGGTATCTTTGTTTCTAGGTGAATAATTAGATAGTTCTGGGTTGTAATTATCTTCAGGGTGACATGAATTTTCCTGTGTTCTTACTCTAGGTTTAGTTGTCTAGGCAGCCTTGTAGCATGTCACATCTCACATCATTACCTCAAGAAACCACAATTTCATTGGTATAGGAGTCCTTACCAACTCATATCACAGCTTCTCTGTGCCTTGGGGGATGATTGAATGAGTTACTGTGACCAAAAAAATTCATCACCTGGTTACCAACCCTAGTAGTAAAATCTCTCTGAACTAGGGTAGTTAGGGTAATCCTTAAATGACAATCCATTCCTGAGCCTGCATCCAAATGGATGCTCCATGGCGTTAGAAAACCTACGGTCTCCTCCAGCCAGAGTGAGACATCAAAGGGGCTTCTAGGGTCCTACCCAATATGACAGAGTAAGGACATAGTCAAGTGCCAATCCTATCTGCTTAGAGCATTAACAAATAAAAATAAATTTCATCCTTCCAAGTAATTGATTTGTTTATAGTTTATTAAGTAATAGTATTAATTTTATAACTATTGAACAGATATCACAGATCTTATTTTTTCTTTGAAAGGCTATTTAGCAAACCACTAGAATGGTCCAGTTTGAGTTCAATGACACCTCTTTGCTTCTGCCAAATTGAGAGGCTGAAAGAGTACCTAATAAATGTTTCTTTGCCAGAAGTCCTGGGTTGATCAGAAGGAAGGGCTTCTTTTTGTCTGCTTTTTGTATCAAGATGAAGTTATTCACTGAAATGATAAAGGAGGGATTTGTTCATGTTTGTTTTTCACTTTTTTTGTGTTCTGGGAATGAGAGGGCTTGAAGACCTTAGGTCCTCAGTTCTGTCATTGTAAACCACACAAGACGGACAGATGCTTTCTAGCTGGGTTTGGCAAGCACAGCCTTAAACCTTCTAGCTCATTGGTAGGTAAAATGTGACCAAGATCTTTTGTCATTTTTGAATGTCTTTCCATGGGAGAGTCTATAGATGTTTCTCAGAGGAACAGCATGAAGATTTCTGTTTGTAGATCAAGAAAAGATTCTTCTTGGCCCTGTCGCCACGGCAAAGTTTAGTAGAGGCGCACTTTCATTATTGAGATTGGTGAGTGTAGAAAATCCACTAATTGCCACACTACTAACAAGTGCTTCAAAACCCAGCTAATTAAATTGGCTGACAGCTAAAGATTTATAGAAGTTGCCAAATCTTTTAATAAGGAAACTTAATACGTTTGAAAGAAGGAGTTTCCCTAAAGGTCTTTGTTACCTTTGCTAAGCTTTGGCATGCCTTATTTACTAAAGAACATAGCAAGACCATTTTGGTTACTAACTAAATAAAGTTTTCATAAGATGTTTGCTTTTTTAGCTTGGGATGCTTTGACCTCTGTTCTGCAGCAGGTGTTCCCCAGCACTAAGCTGAGGAGGAGGTAGCTTTCCTGTTCTATTGGTTTTTAGCATTTTGGATAATGGTGGCACATCCTTCTTGCTCAGTCAAGTATTAGATGAGTGGCATTCATTCATAAAAAAGCATCTCACTTACGGTGATTTATCATTCTCCTGGTTTAAATTCTAGAAGCATTCCAAGAGATCGTTTATTAAGCAGAACTTCCAAAATATAGCACATTGTGAGAATACTTAATACATGTTAAAAACAGATGTGTTTCAAATACATTATTATCTTTATAAATATGTAGGAACTGGAATGCCACGCATACAATGACATCTAGTTATTTGTAGTACATAGAGACCAAACCAAGAAACAGAAAGCCAGTGGAAACTGAAGGAAATTGTATGACCCTTTCAGAAGCTTATTTTGTTGTTTAATTATGAACAGCATGGCCACTTTTTTGTGGATTTAGTAATGTCATTTAAGCTTCACGTCGATAGGAGAGGCAGTGTGATTGAGTGGTTAGTGAGCAGGCCTCAGAGCCTGGAAGACCTGGGTTCAGTCCTCCCTTGGGCGCACACTGGCTGTGGGACCCTGGGCAAATGACTTCCCCCTCAGAGCTCTAGACAGCTCTCGAAGACTAGGAGTTGTAGAGCAGAAACCAACCTGCCTTGGTGGGGGACGTTTCCTCATCCAGCGGCTCCTTACAGCCAGAAAATCTCAGCTCCAATCCCTGTAACTCTAAACATGAAAGGAAAAGTTCTATCCCAGAATGAATTTTCCAGGGGTGTCTGAAAGGGTTTTATTTTATTTTCCTTATTTTTAACTATCGTCATGATAGAAGAAAGTACTCTCCAGCTATCCCCACTCCCTCAGCCAGGATGCACTAAATCGATCAATGTGTGGCTGGTTGTCCCGTGGTTCACATAAAGTGCTGTATCCCTGCTTTTACTGGTGATGAGACTAAGGATGACGCAGACTGTGTATCCTTCTCAGGTGGACAAGCCACTTTCCCCCAACAGCCAGGTAGTACAAGTATGACTCCTGGAGAGTGTGAACTGCTTGTTTTTGGTCGTTGTATCCCCCTTGCACAGTACTTCGCACCCAGTAGGCTCTTAATCAGTGCTTATTGAATTGAATTATCCCCATTTTACAGACAAAGAAACTGAGGCTCTCAAAGTTGTCATGACTTGTCCATTGTCATATAACTAGTTAAGTGTTGGAGAAGGGATTTTGAACCTAGTTCTCCAGATTCTAGGTCTTTTGATACTGTTACATATTTGTGGTGTGCCTAAACTTCTCACATAGAGCAGCTAGGTGGTGCAGTGGTTAGAGCACTGGGCCTGGAGTCAGGGAAGCCCTGAGTTCAAATTTGGCCTCAGAATGATTTCTAAGAGTTACATATGAAAATCCAAGCTGTTACCAGGAGTTTCATCACCCGGGGCAAAATTATTGGAGCTCCAGGAGAAGGGTGGTATCCAGGGTATGACTGTTTCTATCTGTGGTTGTGGCATGTTAGAGAAAGAGGATGAGAAAGGTAAGGGTGAAGACCTAGGAGGCAAGGCTGTTTAGAGGGCTTCGAGGTGTGGGGGGAGGAAGGGGACGAGAGTGAGACCTGTGGCTCCTCGGATGAGTGCAGCAGGGATCTGGATGGGATGGAGTAGATTTAAAGAAAGAGTCGTGGCTGAGTGAGGGTCGCAGCGGAAGGGTCTGCAAATGGCATTGGGGGGTGCCTGTAAGTCAAGGGTGTCACAGCCTTTGAAAGAGTGCCAAGGGACGTGGGGTCTTTAGGAGAAGAGCTGGGTTTCCATGAGCCCCCGAAGATAGAAGGAGTGTGAAAGGAAGAAATCTAAAATCCTGAGATCATAGATTAAACATGGAAGGAACCAGAGAGGGCATCTACTAATGACAGGTGAAGAGTCTGAGGCCCTGAAAGATCTCACAGGTCAGAGAACTGACAGAGCAATATTAGGTCCTCTTATAATAAATCTGACAGTTTTTCCAGATTTTTATACTGCAACTGAGTGAAGTTCTTCACCAGCTACAATAGAAAGGGAGAGCACAGGAGGATAGTGCCTGGAGGAGGCTAGGGCTAAGTTTACTATGGGAGAGAGGAAGGAAGGCCAGGTGATAGTAGTCACATCACCTTTGGAATTGATCTCAGCTGGAGGGGGTGGGGGGCAGGTGTGTATCATACTGTCCTGTTGAAAGATGGCCGCAGGACCCTGTGCTGTGGCAGCCCCACGACCTGGTTGAGGAGTGGGCCATCCAGGGGGTCAGCATTGGAAGTAGGAAGTAGAAAGCATGCCCCTGGGTACGTTGGCTTCTGGGACAAACCCCTGACTGCCCAAGATTAGTTCCAGCTCTATAAGAATGTGTGTATAAAGAAATAGAAGTAAAATTTTGGTCAAGAATGTTTTCTAGATTTGAAAAAGAGTTGGAAGTTTAATTTGAATTCTTACCACATAATATCACTAATTAGTGTGTGTATCTCCACCATAATACAGTTTTGTTGCCTTTAACTTAATTTGCAAGTGGATTTTTTTTTGTATGTTAGAAATACTTAAAGGATGTGTGATTTCAATGTGTGGATATTCCCCCCCATCAGTCCTGATCTCAACTCTTCTAGAACTCAGTAATGTTCATGAGGAATTGCTATGGCCCAGGACATCATTACCCTGCAGCCAGCCTGCCAGTGGCAATCTCCTAAGGTAACCAATGTGGTTCTCAGACAACGCACACATACACATCACCAGGTCATCCATTCTCGAGATCTTTCCAGATTAGATACTTGTCCTACCTACCTTTGAGAACCCAAGTGTTGAGTGAAACATACTAGAAAACAAAGATCGAATTTCCAAGTCTGAATCTCAATTTGATGTGTTACTAGCATTAAGTAACAGTTTGGCTGTTTTGCATGGGACTTCTAAACTATGAAGTTTCCAAGTTGGAAAACTGGCTTAGCAATTTTGAGTATCACTGATTATGTCTTTAATTCTTGTCAATTAAACAGCAGGAAATTCTTTACCATTACCCAACATCTGAAGCATCTCAGAAACTTAAAAGTGTAAGAGGAATATTTCTAACCCTCTGTGACATGCTGGAAAATGTAGCTGGGACACATGTTACCAGGTAATAACTAATTTTTATTTAACTGTAATTTTTTTCTGCTTTGCAAAGTGTCTTTTTTATTGTTGATGAGAGAAAAATGCCAATAAAGGAACAATCACATTAGCAAAAATACCCCAAAATGTCTTTTCCTCTAAGAAGCTTTCATTGATAAGGCCTTTTAAAAACTAGGCTCATGGGATTTATAACCAAAAGGAACCATCTTCATTTTTCAGAGAAAAAAACTGAAGATGACTTGTCCAATTTAAACCCAGATTTTCTCCACTATTTCCAGTTCATTTAAATCCAGGATTTTTCAGATTCCTCAATTAGGATCATAGGATTTAGCCTTTATCGGGACCTACAAAGTCACCTGAACCAAGCTCCTCATTTCAGACCTAAAGAATTTAAGTGATTTGACAGAGTTCATATAAGTAGTAAACATGAAAGGTGAGATTCAAACCCAAGCCCTCTGACTCCAGATCCAGAACTTTCTACTTACTACACACACTGACTCTTCACACTTCCCGGACACATGTGCCAGCACATTCTGCAAACCACTCTGAATTAGTCAGCCTTCCCTCTATACAGCTGCCTTATCGATATTCCTAAAGCACAGGTCTGCCATCTTTCCTCTTCAGAAGCTCCCATGACTACTGTTGCCTATAGGATGACATACAAGTCCTCTGCTGGGTCTGAGGGGTCTGGAAGTCCACCTTCTGGCATTCATGAGTGGGAAGGTGTGTGTTCCTGGCCATGAGTCTGCTGTGTCACAGATCTGAGTTGAGAACAAGCCTGACTTTCAATGGAATATTATTGCCCCTTAAGAAGTGATGAAAGGGGAGGTTCAGAGAAACCCAAAAAGACTTATATGAACTGATGCAGAGGAGTGAACAAAACCAGAAGGACAGTTTATACATTGAATACGATATTATAGATTTTCATTTTATTTTTTAATTAAGAAGCCTTTTTTCTTTCTCTCCAGCTCCACCACTTTAAAAGAAAAACAAAATCCTCATAATCTATGAATAGGTAAACCAAACAAATTCCTACATTGTCTGTATTCCAAAATGTATGTCTCATTTTGCATATTGAATCCATCACCTTTCTGAATGATCACAATGTTGTAAAGACTTTAAGAAATCAGATCATTTCAGTTACCAAATATGACCCCAGAAGACTAGATGTTAAAATCATACTTTCCACCTTTTATCAGAGAGATAATGGCCCAGGAGTGGTAGAATGCATCATACATCTTCAAGCATGACCCATCTATCTCTTTGTATTCCTTAATTAGACTTCTATTTTTTTTACAAGGAAGGGCATCTGGGGACAGAGTGTAGGGAGGCAGTAGTTAATAGCTGGAGAAGTAGAAGAGTAAATATAGTGATGCCAAAAAAAAAAAAGAAGAATAAAGAAAATAACATCATCGAAACATCTTAAAAAACACGGACGAAAATAGTAGGAAGTCCAGAAGGGAACACAGACAAACAAGCAGTACAATGTTGTTATTGCTGTGTTAAATATAATACATAATTTTCTAGGGGCAGCTAGGTGGCTCAGTGGATAGAATGTTGGGTCTGGAGTCAGGAAAATTTGAGTTCAAATCTGGCCTCAGATACTTATTAGCTGTGTGACCTGATGCAAGTCACTTAACCTGTTTCCTCATCTGTAAAATGGGAATGATAATAGCACCTACATCTCAGGGTTCTTGTGAGGATCAAATGAGATAATATTGTAAAGCATTTAGCACATATTAAGTGCGATATAAATGTTAGCAGTCATCATCCTCATTATTATTATTATTAAAAGTTGTACATAATAGAGGTACATTATTTTATATAAAAGCTTCTTTTTCCATTTTTTTCTTACATATGGGAATGTTTACACTTGTAAATGGTTGTCAGGTTCATAATAAAAAAGAAACCTTAATCTTTCATAAAGTTATATTGACCCCAAGTCTTTGAATTCATCACGGAAATGTCAGGTCTTTACTTGGGAAGCATGGCTTGGGCGCTACTCTGTTTATGTGTCTCCTCACCTCTATGAGGGGCCACTGTCTCTTGCTCTCATTAAGAATAGAAATCATTTTTAAATTGTCTGTGTCATTCTTTAGAACCTAGAAAAAGCATTTAGAAAAAGTATTGGTATTAGTCTTACTTTAAGTTCTTGGTCTGGCCATCTCTGTGCCATCATCCTCATGTCTCCCACTAAAATCTTGGTTCTACCCGTGGAAGGTTAGGCTCCAATAGGCGAAATTTTTACTTTTCTTCCAGAACCATGCCTCACTACCACTTCCTAGGTAACCCCGGTGCATGCCACTGTGTAACTCAAATTCCCTTCTCCCCTTTCTAGTCTCCTTGTGTGTTGTCTTACCACGTCCAAATATAAGTTCCCAGAGGGCAGAAATTGTCTTAATTGCTTGTATTAGAACTCATTGCTCAGCACAGTGCCTACCATCCCTTCAGGCCGCATCTACCCTCCCTTTCAGAGTCACTAAAAGCTTTCCACAAAGATAGCCTCTCTTCTCTCATCTCATACTAACTTATGAACCCCTTGAAGCCTCCCTTATGACTTCATACTTCAGCTGAAACAATTCACTCCAAGCTTAGGTTACTAAGGAAGTATTCATTTCTGGTGCTGGGCTGGTGCTTAGTAAATGCTTAATTGAATTGACTTATGAGGGGAAAAATATGCAGTGTAAGCACCTAAGTGTGAGGCCTTGTGCCAGGCACTGAGGATGCAAGACAAAAGTTAAACCGTCCCTGCCCTCATGGAACTTTAAGGACACCAATATGTAAATCTGAAGTCTGTAGAAGTAAGGTAAAGTAATGTCAGAGCCAACAAGAAAGTCTTAGTAACTGGGAGAAATCAGGAAAGGGCTCATGAAGGAGGCTTCAGAGAAAGGGGAGGATCCTTGAGGCAGAGGGAGGAGAGTTTGCATTCCAGACATGAGGTAATCCTTGTACATGTCCTGCAGGTAGGAGATAGCATTTCATTTATATGGAGGCAGGGGAGGGGGGTGACGTGGTAGTCTTTGATGCTCTCCTTTCTGGGGCCTAAGTCTTATTTGGTGTTGTGAGAAAACAAGTTGTTGAGTGTTCTGACACTGCTGTGGCTTATAGAAAGCCTATCCTTTGCCCCCTGGTAACTCTTGCTAAGAAGAAGGTGTGTAGAAAAGATACGGTTTTCTGTTGCAAATTTGCTTCTGAGACAAAGAGAAGAGGAAAGAAAGAAGATACTTTTCTCCATTGTGCCTTTTGTGGCTGAGAAGTGGGGGAGGAGAAGAATCCTGCCAAAGTTGCAGAATTAGAGAAGCCTTTGCTGGTATCAGGATGAGAGTTGCTGCCTTTCCTTAAAAGTTCGTGACGCTGTTTCATCTGGAGGCATCATCTAAGCTTGAAGCTAGTAGTGATGGGCATAGAGTTGATGTCCAGGAGCAAGCCCAGCTGAGAAGTGGAACAGCATAAAAGCAGAGCATCAGAGAAGCCTCAGACCAGCAGATCAATGCATCCACCTAAAATGCCATGTGTAGCAAAGTGTTGTAGTCCAGCACAGCACGAATCAATCTCCTCCCAATCCCCCCATTAGAATGTAAATTCATTGCAAGTATGCATTATTTCATTCATTGTACTTGTATCTCCAGTGCTCTGGCAATAGGAAGTGCTTAATAAATACTTGGTGATTGATTTCAGCTTAGCAATAGAAGCATTTGTTCACACAGAAGTTAGTCTCATCAAGGAACTTTTATGGACCGTTCCTTAGACAGAGATGATATTGAAGTCTACAGTTCCAAAGTTATGAGTTGTCCTGGCCACATGTGTGACTTACTACCCTAGGACTTTTAAGTGTAATGACCACTCTCCCCATGGACACACTACACATTGGAGGGGGAATGTGATTCAGGTTTATTAGTAGAATATTATATAAATATTATGTTATTTGGTTGCTGTTTTTTGGTTACTTTTTTTGTTGTTGTTACTGTTAATTAAGTATTAGTGAGAGCTCTATTCATGGGAACTACACTGGTGGGGGCTCATAAACTACTGTGTTAGTAGAAATAGTTACCCACAAAGTTTAACCCTACGACCTTGAAGGTATTGAGTATAGCAGCCATCCTCCCTTTAGGAAAGCCTCAACTTGCCAAAACGGCGACGTGTCAGAGGAAAGTGAGCAACAGAGTGAGTTCCTATGGTGGGGGGTGGTGGGAGAAGAGCCTTCAACCATTACATTGCTGGTTGGCTTTTAGCTGGTACCACATACAACAAACATCTAGCAGGCCACTTTGACTAGAACTGAGGGTGTATAAAGGGAAATCATGAAATGAGACTGGAAAAGATAAGTGAGAGTAGATTGCAATAGGATTTATATGCCAGTGTAAAGATTTTGTATTTCGTCCTTAATGCGGTGTAGAGCCACTGCATTTTCGTGGAGGGAGGGAGAAGTGTTCAGCTCTGTGTTTTGGCAGCTGGGTGGAGGAGAGATTGGAGAAGAGAGAGACCAGAGCAGGAAACAATAATCACGAAACTGTTGCAGGTGTCCCGGCAAGAGGTTCTGAGGGCCTGAACAAGAGTAAAGGCTGCGTGTGAGCTGAGAAGAGGGATGTGGGAGATGCCTGGGAGATACCGGGGAGCTGCGATAAAGAGAACTTGTCGCTGATGGGCATTAGGGGGAAGAGAGGATAGGAAGAGCCAAGGAGGGCTCCCAGGCTTTGAACCTGGAGGCCCAGAGCAACAGTAACGCCCTCAGTGCCAAAGCGTGACCATACACCACAAAGGCCGAGGATCCCAAAACCAGACATCACAGAGAGGCCGTCTTATTCATTAATTCCAGATTGCATGAAAGCACACACCCATCTGTCTGCAATCATTGCCTTCTCTGGACTTCGGTTTCCAAAAACCCAAAATGAGGGAGTTAATCTCTCAAGTCCCCGTAGCTGGAAATCCTGCGGACCTTAATCCAGTATTCTGCACCCAGGAGAGGTTCAGTAAATATGATCTGATATTCCTGTTGAGTTGTAAGGTTAATTATGCCATGCATTATTTATTTATTTCTGACTGAGAGCACTCAAACATTATAATATTGTTGACTGGTCTGAAAGCTCTTTGTATAGAAATGTTTTGTGTAAATATTTAACAGAAAACTTCCATTTTGCATCAACATATTCTTGGCCACTGACTGATATTAAAATATATTTCCGAAAAACTTATAACATGTTCACAAATAATGTCTCACCTCTCCTGTGTCACAGTCATATTTCAGGGAATCAGCTCATTAAGTATTTAATCCACAAAGCACATCATATATAGTATTATATGAGTAAGACCACTTGTTTGTCATTTCATAATCTTTGCAAATGCGCTGACCTTCTGACTTAATTTTTCTAGCTCATCACTTTCTTTAAATGAAAAACTAGTACATGTGGCTTACTGGAAAGAAGATGACAAATTGTTATTAATTGGACTTCCTGCTGAAGAGTAAGTTGAATGTTTTTTTTTCTTTTATGCTTTGAAATCAGTCATATAACACACTTTTCATAAGGTACATTTTATTTAAACTATTCAGTTTTTACTCTAAAGCTAACTGTTTGGTGTTCAAAGGTATTGTACAGATAGCAGAGGGGCCATGAGATTGCATTTGGTTTTGTTAGAATATACTAGGTGTGCACCTAGTAAGCAAATCCACGTCTTAGTTATTAAACCTGTCAAGATTTGCTCCTTCAAAGATAACCGCATTTCAGAGATTTACCCAGCAGCAGTCAGGATCCCTGCTAATACTTTTGTCAGGCATTATTTGTTATGTGAATTCAACATCTCAACAAGTTCTAATTCCACTGTGCATTCTCCCCCAATTCTTTCCTCTTTAAATTCTCTTCTGTATTTAGGAGTGAAGTGCATAATACATATTGTGTTATATTGACCTTTAGCATCTTCAAAGGATAAAGAGGATATGGTGACCTCTTCAGAAGAGTATGGTAGCCTCTTTGGCATTACGGGGAAATGAATGAATGAATGAAATGACTAAACGAAAGGAAAACATATATTAAACATTTACTTTATGTCAAGCACTGTACCAAGTGCTGGAGATACAAATAGATAAATCAAGACAGCCCCTGCTTTCCAGGAGCTTACACTCTAATTTGAAAATGCAACATGTAACAGAAAGTTCAGCTTCTGGGCAGATGGAAAGATCTAGATGTCCTACGGGTTTGACTTCAGGGTGGATGGCAAGGCCCTGGGGTGCTGAGGTTGCGTTAGCTGGTCAGACGATGGTGCTGAGGGTTCTAGAGGGAATAGAGGAAAGGTACCTGGCAGGCCTGGTGGACCTCCATCTCCCCAGAACTCCCACGTCATCCAAGCAGTGGGGGTAGTTCAGCACCCTGGATAAGGGCAGAAGGCTGGGGTAGTGAACACAGCTCTTCTCACCTCCTGGCCTTCCCTGGTAGGTTCTGGCTGGTGAAACTGTGAAAGCGCAAAGTGCTTTTTAGTGAGATTGTGGGTTCAGAGAGAACTGAATGAAACCCAGAAAGAGTTGCTCCAGAGTGAATGGACTGGGGTAAAGAACCCACTGAGAAGAACCAAAGGCAAAAAGAGAAGAGATAAAGTAGATTCTAGAGGAAGGAAATGTAGTGAGAGCAGATCTTAGAGAAGGAGGGTTGAGGATCCTTGAGGTCTCTGTGTACTAAGCAAAAGCCAAGTTGGTGGTCAGTCGGCTGCAGCCCACACTGATTAAGCAGAGGCTTTGTGCAGAGATCTGGGCAGGGTCCTGGGGGAGATGCTAAGATTACATCAGACATGGACCTGCCCTAATGGAGCTCACAGTCATGCCAAATGCAAATAACCACAGGAAAGAGCAAAAGGGAGTGGTCCTCCAGCTTAGGCACATAAAGATCCTGCTCCCCCAGGAACCGAAGGGGCTGAAAGAAAAAATTAGGCATAAACCTGTGGGAAAGGGAAGAGGGGCATGGGGAAGGAAGTGTGGGATGGATCAGCCAGAAAACCAGACTCCAAGAATGGGTCCTGCAAACAGAGGAAGGGAATACTGGAGCGTTTCATGCTCCCTGTGCCCTGTCTTGGCAACATAGCACCACAGAAATTTTATCCCAGGGTCAAGAACTTTTTCTGGAAGTGGCCAGATAGTAAATATTTTAGGCTTCGTGGGCCAAGAGGCAAAATTTATTATGTTAGATAGTTACTTACATAACAAGGGAGGAAATTTTCACAATTTTTTTTGCTGGTAAAATTAAAATATTATAATTGAGTGCATTTTTAATACAGGTCTATTTGTGAGAAGAGTGAAATTCTTTTCTTGGTGACATTTTGATTGGGGTTCAAAGTTAGTGTTCCCTATCATCAAAATGGATTGCAAATGTCCCTTCTGATCTATAATAAGATTTTATGTATTTCATCTTTGAAAATGACTTTTCTTATAGATAGGTACTGCCGAAATCTTATGTCCCAAAGCATGTGATTTTAATTGAGTGTATTCATCACTTAGAAAAGGAATTTAGAAAATTCTATCAGATTCTTTTCTTGTATTTTCTTTATGTAAAAGTCCCCCAACTGCACAGTTAAATAAAAGAATTTTGAAATATGGACATTTCTTTTGCATTTGCATTGAGTTCTGAAAAAATGCTGCTGGAACTGTAGTTTGAGCTCAGAAAATAGATGCACTATAAATTTGTTTGGGAATAAAGGTCTCGCTTCCAGTTTAAATATTTGACAACACAGGAGGTGTATAAAGCAGCTTGACATTACTTATAATTGAATAGTGTTAGTTGTCATTGAATTGACTTTGCCACAGTATGTTTTACATGTAAGCATGGTTTGCCTTGTAATTTTGGGTTGAATTCATTAAGAAACATCATATCTGCAGCAAAAGCTAGTTTCCAAATCCATTTATTGTTGGATAGTAGTGGTTGAGGGTGGTACTTCTCATTCAGAAAAGCTCTCAGTCCAGAGCTCAAAAAATTGTAATGAAAGTTTTTTTTTCCTCCTCTTGTTTTGACATGAGGGGTATGCACTGGTAGTAAAAAAAAAATAAAATAAAATGTCAGATATGGTATGGCATTCAAAATGCTGTTGAGTTTATAATTGCCTCACTGCAATTTGTAGTGCATGGGCAGTTGTGGAAAGTGATGGAAGCAACACCATGGTCTGTGTCACCATTGCGGCACGAAAGTAGCCATGGAGAATACAGGAACTGTGTTTACACAGCTGTGTTCCAACAAAAACTTTTTTATGTAAAAAAACATTCTTAGTTTCGTGGCTATCCAAAAACAGGACCCATTTTGGCCCAAGCATCATAGTTTGCCAGCTCCTGCTCTAGCCAAATAGATAAACAATCTTTATCACTAAATGATGTCTCCATCTTACGGTCCTCCTGTCCACTCAACCCCAGATTTACTAGCTTGGACCATCCAGAAGGACATTATACATGCCCTTTACTCCCACCCCAAGGCTGAAACCTATAGCAAATCCTAGTCAGCCAGCTGCTGATTAAGAACCTGGTGGGGAGGGAGGGGCTTCTCTTTAGGGGTTCCCCCATTCCGTCACAGATGTGAGGTCAGATGAGACCTAGTACACATGGATCCTACATTAGTTCTGGGCTTCCTTTGCCATCCTTCTCCATGCCTATCCCAGTGACACTAGGACTTGATTTCTGGCCCAACTACCATACAAGAACCCAAAATGCTTATTTATCCTGGAATTGGGTAATAAGACGCTGGGGGCCATCTCCAGTCGTCCTTATCTATATCTTGCTACTGGACCCAGATGGCTCCAGAGGATAAAGTGAGGCTGGTACCTTGCACAGCCCTCCCTCACTTAAATCCAGTTCATTTGCAAGTCATGGCATCATCTTTCTGATGTCATGGTCCTCTTCAAGAACGAAGGACAAACAACAATAAAACATTACTTACTAAAACAGTATTAAAATAAAATTTAAAACAGAGGCACCATCTATAGCAACACTACCTAGCATTAGATAAAACTATGTGTGTCTGTTATCTAAAATTTAAATCAATTTTGCCTCCTTTTTATGTCAACATTTTGCTATTTTACCAATGTGGTTGTGAATTAATAGATACTGTTTTCTTTTCTAGAGTTCCCCTTCCTCAACTAAGGAATATGATAGAAGATGTTGCCCAAATCTTAAAGTTTATGTATGGTTCTTTAAATAGGTAAATATCATATGTGTCAAATAATTAATTTTGTGACATTTTTACCAAATTACTCTATGCCTTGAGAGGCAACAGGGTATATTGGAGATAACACTGGAATTATATTACCAGTCTTACTGATCCTTCCTTGAATCATTTCTGCTCCCACCCCTCATGCCAAAATTGTTATGATTATCAATATTCACCTTCACTAACCTGGGAGAAAAAAGTCTCACTTTTATTCTTCATTTCTAAAAAGAAAGAAAAAAAGAAGTTTAAAAATTTTCCTTTGCCCTAGAGCAGGGATCTTTTTGGGGTCATGGGCCCCTTTGGCAGTCCAGTGAAGCTTGTGGACCTCGTCTTGGAATATTGTTTCTAAAAGCACAAAATAAAATAGGATTACAAAGGAAACTGATTATGTTGAAATATAGTTATCAGAAATTTTTTTTTAAGTTCATAGTCCCCAGGTTACTAGACTGCCCTTGCGCTTTGACCCTGGGATACCACTACACACCCAAAGAAATCAAAGAAAGAGGAAAAGGTCCTCTATGTAGTGAGGCAGCTGGTGTGTTTGTTAGTGGAGAGACCACTGGAATCAGGAAGTCCTGTGTTCAAATTCAGCCTCAGATGCTTACTAGCTGAGTGACTTGGGACAAGTCACTTCACCTCTGTTTGCCCCAGTCTCCTCACCTGTAATGGGGATAATAACAACACCTACCTTGCAGTGTTATTGCAAAGATCAATGAGATCATAATTGTAAAGCACTTAGCCCAATGCCTGGTACATAATAGGCATTTAATAAATGCTTATTCCTTCCCTCCCCCCTGCTTTTCAGCGTCATGCATTTTTAGACCCATGAATACAAAAGAAAGACATTTCCAACCCCTGTGTCTACATCCTTTGACTATGACATCATTGTAGCCTTCATAATGTGAGCCTCCTTCCAACAGAATTTTATACTGGCCTTTTACAAAGGGGATGGTGGAGAGCGCATGTGTTCCATCACCACCGCTCAGGAAAGACCAAAGGCCATGTGTGTATTGTAGAGGAAATTCAAACGAGATTACAGCTGATGATTTCAGTGTCATGTAGTGATGATGTTGTTCTGACTTCACATTCACATTTCTGCAGCGCGTTCTGCGAGGTGGAAAACACCGCTCGGTTGGATCATTTTTTCAACTTGTTCTTCCAAAGAGCGATTCAGCCTGAAAAGCTTTACTCCAGGACCAGCCCTCAGCCCTATGATGCCTCCAGCTCACTGTTTGTCGACACTCTCCCCGGCGTTCAATGGCTCACACTTCCTCAAGAAACCCAGGTAACCCCGGGCTCCCCAAATAGGCAAGAATGGCTTTCTTCACAAGTCCATCTTCTCTCCTCAGTCGGTTATGGGTTTGGAGGTGAGGTCAGTCAGTCAGCCAGGGAGCATTTCTTAAGTACCTTCTCTGTGCTGGACGCTGAGCTGAGAGCTGGGGATATTAGTTCAAGGAAAGAAGCCATCCTTTCTCGAAAGAAGCTGACATTCCATCAGGGAAAAAGAATAAATGAATAAAAGAGACATCTGTTGAAGAAAGACAGTTATAAAGAGAAACTAACTCTGGTTTTATCATTCTAGATTGTCACTTTTTAAAACTAAAATGACTTTTTAAAATGAGGTAATATTTCTGTTCATGCAGAATACATTATGGGGGAGCAAAGCACCCAGGAGTTTGGGGTTTTATGACGTATTGTGCTGTTAGATTAAGCTTAAATAGGACAGGAAGATGGCCTGAAGAGGAAGGTCTTTACTTAAAGTACAAACTTAGCCAAGAAGAAGAAGGAAATGAAACAGGACATATTTTATTTAGTTTAAGATGTTCAATGCAAGCCTTTGCCATCCTGTTCTAATCAATGGGGTTTGTTAATGGCCTTTCTTTTGAAGGGGTTCGTTTTGTAGTGTCCATCTAAGCGATAGACACCTTGTGTGCCTTGCACCCTGTTTTTCCATCCCCAGATGACCAGAATGCTGTAGGACTCCTGATAACAGGAGGCCCGCTCACCTTAGTCCTGTCACATCGTCCCAAAGTCCACCCCTCCTGAAGACAGTCACCATCCACAACCCCAAGTCCCCACCCTAAAACTCAGAGCTCATTTCCGCTCTTCATAGACTGCAGCCTCATTTGTTTGAGTCAATACTTATTTACCCTCTACAAGTAGGGCCACTCAGTGCCAAGCTTACAGACTTTCTTAAATTTAACAAATTCATTTCAGCATTCCATCTTTATACCTTTTAGTGGTCTTTCCCTACAAGGGGACGTAACTTTTCATACTTTGAGGGCCATGTATCAACAGGGCCACACATTGGGAATACCTTAAGTTCAACCGCATGTCTTGCTTTATCATGGAACTCACACCTCCAAGACACCTAGGCTCTTTTATCCCTGTTAGATCTGGCTGTAGCAAAAATTACCGACTATGCCATATGTTTGTCACTCTATCAGAAGCCAAGGGGGACTGAAATGTAAGGAACAAGCCTTGCCTTTTAGAAGCTTCCAGGTCTGGTGAGGGAGGCAAGATGCATCAGAAAAAAAAGTGGTAGCTAGGTGGGGCAATAGATGGACTCAAGGAGGCCTCGGACCCTTACAATCTGTATGACCCCAGTGAGCCCCAGTTTCCCCATCTCTAAGATGAAGAGGTGGGACCCGATGGCTTCTAAGATCCCTTCCAGCTGGAAGATAGATCTTTTCACAAATTGTATCACTAGCGATCAGCACAGTGCCTGGCACATCATACGTAGATGCTTAATAAATGTTTATTGGATTGAATTGATCCTGTGGCAAACAATAAAGGTGGCACATGGCAAAGTCTTCAATTGTTTGATGGATTGTTGGAGTACAAAATGGGGAGGAATAAGCAAGTATAGCAATTTCTTTTTTTAAAGAGTGACTCTTATTTATTCCTGACAGGATGTTCTGAAATTCCCCACGAGGAAGTTAAAAGCTGAAGGACACGAACGTACCTGCCCCTGATTTTTAGTCATTTGTTTAATTTTACACAACAGTCCTACAACACCTTTTATGTCTTCTCCCTCTGGCTGTGTCCAAGGTAGCAGGGGTGTGCTGGCTCTGTATCTCTATTTAAAAAGAGCAGTTCTGGATAGATGCTTGTGTTCATGTGCTATCTGGCCCCGGATAACCTGGGGTCTGACCTTTAGACCTGTTAACTCTCACAGGATGAGGAAGACATGGGCACTTTTCACAAATCATTTAGAGGTTTTACTTTGATTTTTATTTTTCTTGGAATACACTGGAGTAGGTAAGAGAAGAAACAATAACATTACATTTTTTTCTTAAAGGGTATTGGGGCCAACTAGAGAAATACTGGGGCATTAAGTGTCATATTTAAGTTGTGGGGGCAGCACACCCACTGGCCAGTGTCTGAAACTGGGAATCTCCTTCACAAAACACACACACACACACACACACACACACACACACACACACACACGAAACTACAGAGTCTGTGTTAGATGGTGAAAAAGATGGGTCATCAATGAGTATGGACACGTTAAGAGGCCTGACTAATGTTCCAGAAGGTTCTTTCATCTCGGCCAGCATTGTGTTTCCCCCAGCCCTGTAGGAAATGTCTTGGCTTTTTATAAAAAAATGTTGCCTCCCAATGAGCAGCACATTTGTCAACCAACCTCAGCCCCAGCCTCCCGGCCAGTTTAAATTTATGTAGCAAAAATAAAACTGCTTTGAACTCTCCTTACAGTTTGGCTACCTCTGAGAGGGAGTCAGACACTCTGGGACATTCTATAGCAACAAAACCAAAATCCTCCATGACGGCAGAGTTCCCAATGGTTCAGTTGGATAATTGTCCTGTGCCAGATGCCAGGGGGGCTTCATTCTCTTCTTTATCCATTCAGGCAGTCAGATCAGCATGGTTTTTGTACAAAATGCCGTGCTGAAGGGACCAGCAAGAAGAACGTTGGTATTTTACCTAAAAAAAAAAAATCTAAACTATGGACAACTACGTGGAAAGTTTTAAAGTTGTTGTACTTTGAGGACAGTCAGATTGAATGGTTGTTTGCTCTTAAGAACATTGTTTAAACGTTTAAAAAATCGGTTTATTTAGAACTCCAGGAGCAATAGAATTGCTCCATGAGCAAGTTACACTGCTTTGCATTGAGTACAGGTTGAAACCTACTTCTCTTAATTAGTGTTTTATTGATGGAGCCTGTATTTTAAAGACTTCCCAGTAATTGTTTTGTAATTGCAAAAAGAAAAAGGGCGTAGTGTTTCTTAACAAGTAACAGAGAATCAATGGAGAAATACCAATTCATTCTGATTAGTACATAGAGATTACCTACCTCCTCAGCAATTTGCCGGTGAATGTATTCCTCATAATTTTGGATTCTGTTTGTGTTGTGTTCTTTTCTTAGATGGAAATCGACATGGCATTAAGTGATCTGGAGGCGGCAGACTTTGCAGAACTGGTGAGAGAAGAAAGTTTTAGGTGCAGCTTAATGCTGATGACTGATTTGATGGGATTTTTAAATTTTTATTATATTTTTTCCAATTAATGAAAACCCACCTTTTCTCCCTCCCCTTCCCCATCCCCCCTAAAAAAGAAAGAAAAACAAAGCCCTTATAACAAAGATATGTATATATTTGTATATATAAATATGTATATTTTCAAGCAAAATAAATTTCCACATTGACTGGATCTTGTATATGTGTATGTATGTATATATGCATACATGGTCATATTTACATATATGTGTATGTATATATGCCTACATGGCCATACTTACGTGTGTGTGCATACATGGTCATACTTAACATGTGTGTATGTATATGTGTATACATGGTCATATTTACACGCGTGTGTGTACCCTGATTCCCTCACCTCTCTGCTAAGAAGTGGGATTCGTGTTTCACCTTGAATCCCCTGGAGTCATGGCTGGTCCCCGCATTAATCTGAAGTCTTTCAGGGTTGTTTGTCTTTACAAGACTGTTGTTGCCGTGTAAGTTGTTGTCCCGGTTCTGCTTAGTTCCCTCTGTATCAGTTCACACAAGTCTCCCCAGTTTCTCTGAAGCCACACTATCCTCTCTGTCACATTCAGAGAAAGGACGATGAGGCCTGACTGCGGGCCCGGCACTCTGTCCTATCCCTTAGCCATTTATCAATTGGAGAATGGCTCTTTTCCTAAGATTTGGGTTCTCTGGTTTAGAAATTAGACTTTTCTAACAGAAATGTGCTCCAAAGATTTTTTTTCCCATTTTGAAGACTGGCTTTGAAACGTTTGATGCCTTCCTCCTCCGGGCAGGCCTAGACAGAGTCAGGGTCTGACGCCTTGCCTTCGAGGGGATGGGCAGGTTTTGGGGAGCGCCGGTGCAGTCCCTGCAGCAGGGGCAGGAGGGCGGCTCCCTTCAGGCCCAGAGCCCAAGCCCTCAGCCTGCTTGCTGGGGCACGAAGGCTGGCGAGGCAGATCTGCTGAGGAATGCCAGGAGAATGGGAGCTCTTCAGGGTTAATCCATAAGGAATTTTCTTGTCCTGGCTAACAGTTATGTAGCACTCCGAAGTGGAGCCTCACAACAGCCCTGCGAGGTAGGGAGATCATCCTCTTATTTCCATTTTACAACTGAGGAAAATGAGCCCCAGTGAGGTTGAGTGACTTGCCCAGGGTCACACATCTCATAAGTGACTGAGGCAGGATTTGAACCCAGGTCCTCTGTCTCCAAAACAGCCCTCTCTCTGCAGCCCCACAGATGAGCTCTGGGGCAGTCGGGTGGGCACCTCATGGGACAGTTCAGCCTGATGTGAACATCAAGGCACCACCACAATTTTAAGTTGGCTTTCTTAAATAGCTATATAACAAAGGGACCCTCCCCTTTCTCTCTCACATTGATTAAGTTGTTAGTGTAGGTGGCACAGTGGTTAGAGCACTGGGCCTGGAATTAGGAGAACCTAAATTCAAATTCTCAATTTTAATTTAATTCTCAAATTAGGAGAACCTAAATTCAAATACAGTCTCAGACACTAGCTGTGTGACCCTGGACGAGTCACTTCACCTTGTTTGCCTCAGTTTCCCCACCTGTAAAATGAGCTGGAGAAGGGAATGGCAAACCACTCCAGTACCTTTGCCAAGAAAACCCCAAACAGGGTCATGGACAGTCAGACATGACTAATCGACTCAGCAACCACAAACAATCTGGATAAAAGGCAGCAGGGCAGAAGGAGAGAGTAGGTAGAAAACTGGCCTGGGAGTCAGCAGGAGCAGGGCTCAGATCCCACTTCTTACCTCCATCATCTGTCCCCTCTGTTCCCAGGCAGCTTGCTGAGATTCTAAGACTGCTTTGGTGGAGACAGCGTCCTCACCAAGTGTTCCCTACAGAGATCTGTGAAATAAATAGAGGGTGCTGAGCGTTTGAGGGCCGCAGATAAATAAAGCACGAATCTCCTTCACGGCACTAAGACGCCGATAGAGAGGAGAAGCTTTGTGCAAAAATCAAGTCAGTCTAAATTAGAACCTGTTAGGTGCCTTGGAGAAGGACAAGGCCTCTAGGTCAGATGGGGTCATTCCCTGCTTTCTCAGGGGGTTCAGCATCTGGCTTATTGTCTTGCCCTCATCCCCATCTCCTACCCTCACCAGGGCTTCACTGATCATGTTGATGTCTCCTCACACCCCCTGGCCTCCCAGTTCCTCAGGCTTCTCAGATCCCATGTCCTGTTCCTCCTTTCCACATTCATCCATGTACAGGGGATGGCTGTGCCGTGGATCCCGCTGACATTCATCTGTCAGGCCTTACCCTCCTGTCATCCTGTCTCTCCAGGCCTCCCTCCTTCTGAATTATTCCTCTCCCTTATTGTGGCCGTCCTCAGTCTCTCCACCCTTCCATCTTCCCTATAGCTACTCAGTTCACCTCTTAAACTGTCCTATAATCTCAAATCCCACAGCCACTTGTCTTATTATTATGCATCCCTCGCTAAACTCCAGCCCTGGATTACACCTTCCACCCACTTCCTCTGCTCCCCCTCCAGTGTCAATAAACATTAAGTGCCTACTGTGTGCTAAGCCCAGGGTAGCCTTATTGAGACCAGAGCTGTCTCTGCACCACACTGAGGCATCAGTGTAAGACCCAGGAAGGGACAAAGAAACTCTAGGAATTTTAAATCGACTGTAATGGTGTGTTGTCTTGTTTTCAGTCTGAAGATTACTACGACATGAGGCGCTTGTACACAATATTGGGATGTTCTCTATTTTACAAGGTGAGAAAACTGCTGGATTAAAACCTGAAATGTTTGTACCTATGTCATATATTTATCTAAGACTAGCCTAAAGTAACTTTTCCAGAATTTGCCATATTGGTAAATTATTTTATCTTTTTTATGTAATGTAGGTGCAATTTCAATAAAACAAAGTATTTGTAACTATACACATATAAACATTAATGAATAGTTTGTATTTTTTCTTATTTTAAAAAATTAGAAATAAGTCGAGGAGGGGAAAGCCCGTGATTTGAAAGAGCTGAGTGCGTGCAACATTTCTCTTTTGTGCAAAAGTATGCCTCGAACTTGAATCCTCCAGTGTGATAGGATATACTGCTATTGCTCATAATTTTGTTTTAAAATTGAAAAAAATTTATTAAGTCAAAATAAAATAGTGATATTCTAAATAAAGCAAATTAAGTTATAGTTAATATATATTTAATGGCACAGTGCACAGAGCTCAGGAAGTGAGTTCAAAATCAGCCTCAGACACTTACTAGCTGTGTGATCCTGAGCAAGCCACTTAACCCTCTTTGCCTCAGTTTCCTCATCTGTCAAATGAGCTGGAGAAGAAAATAGCAAACCACTCCAGTATCTTTGCCAAGAAAACCCCAAATGGGCTCACAAAGAGTCAGAACTGACTGAACAACAAATCAGGTATATTTAGTTTGTAACTTTGTTAGATTTTCCTAGTAATCTGTTTTCCTAGAGGCATCTTGGTTTTAGCCAGAATAAGGAAGTAATCTTTTGGTCCAGAGAGCCTCCCACACTTAGTAGTTGTGTGATTATAGGCAATCTACTCTGTCCCTCTGAGCCTCAGTTTCCTCATCTGTAGAGTGGTGTGCTACCTACCTGTACTTCCTGAATCACAAGACAATATACAAGTGTGAGTTGGCTTTTTTTAATTCTCTGCTAAAGCCCACCAGGTGGGGGCCTTCAGGCATGTACCTGACCTTGTGTTTAATTCCAGAGACATAACATACCTTTTTAACGTAGCATTAACAATCATAGTAGCCAGCATTTACATCTCCCTTTAAGGTCCTGAACCAAACAGCAACCCGGTGAGGTAAGGGTACAGATATTACTGGTCCCATCTTGCACATGAGGGGTCTGAGGTTGGAGAAGGTTAAATGATGCGGCCTGAGTCACCGTCGGAAGCGAGATTAAACAAGCCTCCAACCTCCCCAAGCTTTGTGCGGCAGGGAGGGAGGGGCTGCAGCTGCCTGCCCGAAGATCCCAAAGCTCTGCTGACTTTCAGGTCACAGGAAGGAGATGGCACAGGCAGGGGAGCTATCCCCCAAAAAATAGCCTAAGAAGCTTTGAGACAACTTGCTCCCACTCCACCAAGTTACTTTATGTAGGTGTCCGGCCCAGGACTTCTCCCTAGAGACGTCTGATTGCCTCGGAGCTGTTGGTCTCCTATGTCCTTAGGATGCCATGCTTAGAACTCTCCCCACATCCTGCTCATGATGAATAAATAAAAGGTTCCCTTGATGGTTCCTGTTCTGAATGGAACATGAAGTCTGTCTCTCTGACAGGCACACAGCTGGGTAGTGTTCGAGGCAGCCCCAGCGTTCTGTCTACTTTGCCACGCTGGCCCCCATTTATTTATGTTATAAATGAAATGTGAAGTTCTTTTTTTTTTTAATATCTGTTAATGGCATCCTCCCCCTCCATCACTCCTCCTCCCCTTCTCGTAGCCCCAAAATCTCCGGGTCATTTTTTTTCCTTCTTCCGTTCCCAGATACGATCATTTCCACCTTCCTAGCATCCATCCTCCTCTTTCCATTCCCAGTGCTGGGGCCCAGGGCTGGGCCCTTCACCTAGACTTTGGCACAGCCCCCCGACTGCTCTCCCAGTCACCTTTCCCCCTCCAATCCATCCTGCACACCATCGGCAGAATCAGCTTCCTAAAGCACAGCTCCGATTGTGTTACTCCCTACTCCGAAGCCTTCAAAGGCTGCCAACTCCTTTTTGTTGTTCTTCAGTCATTGTTCATCGTATCCGACCCTCCATGACCCCATTTGGGGTTTTCTTGGCAAAGACACCGGCGTGGTTTTCCTTCCCTGCTCATTTTACATATGAGGAAACTGAGGCAAACAGGTTTAAGTGACTTGCTGAGGGTCACAGCTCTTAAGTGTCTGAGGTCAGATTTGAACTCAGGTCCTCCTGACTCCAGGCCTGGTGCTCTATCTACTGCACTATTTCCTACCAAATGAAACCTGAAATCCTTAGCAGGCATTCATGCCCTCCCCAATTTGGCCACCAACTCCCTATCCAAATGTGTCTCCTGTGATCTTCCTCCATTCCAGCCACAACGGAATCATTGCTTTTCCCCAAAACACCATGGTTCCTTCACCTATAATCCTTCTCCCCCAACTCTACCTGCAGCACAGCGCAGATGTTCCCCCCCCCCCCCCCCCCCCGCCAAGCCGGAAGTCATCCTTCCTATAGCGCTTTGTGTGTGTTCATCCTCGTCATCGTACGCGGGGCCTCATCTCCCCTCATGCACCCAGAGCTCCTTGAGGGCAGTGGCCGGGCTCTGTTCACGTGGGCACGAACGCCCCGCCGTGCGAGGCATTCAGCATGAGCCGTGAGTCCTCCAGGGGCTCAGATCTAACAACGGGGATTGAGCTTTGCCCCCATGGCCTCAGGAGCAGCGGCTCCAGGGACATGGTTTGAGGTGACTTCCCCTGTGCTTCCTTCCCTTTCAAGGGCTATTTGGTTTGCAGTCACTTGCCCAAGGATGACCTGATTGACATCGCCATGTATTGCCGGCATTATTGCCTGCCCCCGTTAGTCTCAGAGCAAAGGATCGGTCACCTGGTCATATGGAGAGAAGTGTTCCGCCGGCACCCCCTTCGGCCCACTTCTGAACCAGATGCCCAAGTCTTTCGGGAGCCCGAGGGAAGATATTTTTTATTAATCGTTGGTTTGGTAAGTTATGTCTCCGGTCATTCTTAGACTCACCTCCCTTGGCCCCTCCCCGTGTCTAACCTTCTGAACAGATTTTTAAGCAAAAAGGGAAATGTAGAATATTCATCAAACCAAAGGCCTAGGATTGAAAAGCATGGTGGCTGCACTCCTTCCTTTGAATATTAGGGAACCCTGGTGAAATTGAGGAGCAGATACTTCCAGTTTCCTTTAGGAGTTTTCCCCTGGCTATTCCCGGTTCTGTTTTCTGTTTGGGTAATAGAGACAGGTGTGGCAAGGGGGGGAGCGGGAGAGTGGAAAAAGGGGCGCTGCCGCTGAAAGTAAGAAATTCAGAGAGTGGTCAAAGGGGTTGAGAGTTGTGGATAGATTTGTGTGGAGTTCCCAAGTGACTGGAGCACAGATTCTTCACCTGGGCCCTGTAAATTTGATTAGGAAAAGAAATTACATGTTGATTTTCACTGCCTTCTGATTGAAATTTAGCATTTTCTTCAATTATTTTTCTAAAACACGAGTCTGAGAAAGGGTCCACAGGCCTTCACCAGGCTGCCAAAGAGATGAACCCCTGGCCTCAGAGGTCCTGGGATGATCACAGACCTTAGACTCATCTGGTCTGCCCTCCTCCTTTCACCAATAAGGAAAGCCCAGAGCCACGGGACTTTCTCAAGGTCACACAGGCGGTGAATTGCAGAGCCAGGATGTGAACCCAGCTCTTTGGGTCCTGAGCCACGGGCTTCGTCGTTAACGGCTGTTGTCTTGCTGGGTGACCAGCAGCACTGTCAGGGCAGGGTTGGGTTGGAACTGTTTTCTGGTAGGAACCTAAGGTACTCAGTGGTCTAGAAGGGAAAGGGAAGAAAAGTGATTATTATTCACAGGAACAGGATACTTTTATAGCCAGGGGCCTGTTATATTCAGCAAAGTGAACTAGCCAGTTCAGGGAAAGCAAGTTCAGGGAGCTATAGCCTTAGCTCAGCCATGTGAAGTGATAATAATAATAATTAATAATAATGGCACCATTAGATTGGAAAGATAGGAAGGGGCCGGATTGTAGAAAAACCTCTAACTACCCCAAAAGGACTTTGTATTTGGTTCTGGAGATAAATAGGCACAGATGATCTCTGTCTTAGGTATTAAGAGTATTGGCAGATTCATTGACTAAGGCTGGATGTTTGAAATCTGGTGGAAAACTGGTTATTGCAGGATTAGAAGTGTCTGTGTTATCTTGATGTGCAGAAAAGGGGAAGAAGATAGAGTCAGAAAACTGGAGGCCAGTGAGCTTGCCTTCTGTTCCTGGGAAGTGTCTGGAGTGGCTTGTTAAAGAGGTGAGGTGATTGATGGGATGGGATCCTTCTTTGGCAGGATTACTGAAGTGGTAGATGAGGAGGGCTGGAGAGAGGGAGCCTGGCGTTTGCTTTGGCCAAGTAGCTGCTCCTGTTCTTCTGGAGAAGGTGGAGGGGACATGAGCTGGAGAGCTATATTCAAGGAGTCTTCATCGTTAACGGCCGAATGTCCACGTGGCAGGAGGTCGCCAGTGGGTCTCGATGTTTTCATCAGTGACTTGAATAAAGCCATCGATCTTCCCTTGCCCAGTTTGCAGGTGAACCAACCAGGAGGGGTCTGGCTAACGTGCTGGAGGACAAAGTCAGGGTCCAAGCTGACCTCGGCAGGTTACAGCAGAGGGGCCAAATGTGTGGCCCGTAACACTTCCAGGCATAGGCCCTCTCCGATTTTAATGTGTCGACGTATTCCTAAAAAAGAAATCTATCAATTCATGTGGTTTGCTAAGTCAGTATGCAGCCAGCAAGGATCCTCGTGTATGTGGTGATGGCCCCCCATTTCTTTTTGAGTTTGACACTCCTGGGGTGGAGCTCTGGGCAGAATCGATCCGTCAATCATTAAGCATTTATTAAGTGCCTTCGATGTGCTATGCCCTGTGCTAATTTGCTAAGTACTAGACCTGATACAAGGAAATTCAGTAGGGACACATGCAAAGTCTTCACTTGTATACAAAAAAATCAGCTTCAAGTTCAGCACCAGAGACAGGGCCAGAGAGCGGTGTGGCCAGAAAGCTAGGGGTTTTAGCAGAGGGTGGGCTCACCTTGCAGGCTCAGGCTGTAGTAAGAGGGCCACGTCTGCCAGAAGTGGGAGGTGACGACCCTTCGGTCAGGCCTCTTCTGGAGCCTTGTCCTTGGTACCATGGTTTAATAACTTCCTATATGTGTGGTCTCTGCCATTAAAATGGAATTCCTTGGAAGCAGGGACTGTCTACTTTTCAGGGACAGTGCTTTGTACGTATTAAGTCTTAATAAATTCATTCATTCATAACCTCTGAAGAGCGTCCAGAGGAGGCCAGCTAGGAGGGGGAAAGGAGAAGGAGCATTTGAAGGAAGTAAGGGCATTTGGGCTAGAAAAGGAAAGACTCAGGGCAGATGGGAGGACAGCTGTCCTCAAGTATCCAAAAGACTGACATGTGAAGAGAGATCGGCCTTGATTTGCTTAGCCCCAGAGGGCAGAGCAGAGAGTTTCACAATGGAGAATTTAAGTTCAACATCTGTCAGGGAAGACCTGGTAATAATGGGGGCTGTCCCCGAGGGGAAGGGCTCAGGGACTCCCCTTCTGGATGGGTCAGGTCTGTTAGAGTGAGGACTTGGGGGCGTAGGAGCTGGATTAAATGGCCACGAAGGACCCTTACAATCCTAAAATTCTCTCATTCTGTGAAAAGCATTTCAAAAGACCAGTCTCGCAGAAATGAAATGTAACAGAGAAGGATGGGGAATTCTACACTTGACCCCAAAGCATCAGCTTCCCGAGGACAGAATAGGGGAGGTGTGTGTGGCCAGACAATAATTTAGGTGACAGAGATGGGAAGTTCTTCAGCTCAGTGTGAGCCAACAGTGTGGCAAGAGAGCCAGAAGAACCCAATACTGCTCTGCTAGAACAGGAAGGTGGGCACCCGCTTACCCCACGGGCCCTGCTCTCATCAGTTCTTGTGATCCCAAAGAGCGTGACCAGGGTGGCCAGAGGAAAGCCTGTAGAGGATGCCCTGGGAGGGACATGACAGCTGGTATCTGAGATTGTTTGCAGCTCCAAGATTTTTGATGTGTTAGACAGTACTGCTCAACTAAAAATATTTTTCCAGGGCAGCTAGGTGGTGCAGTGGATAGAGCACCGGCCCTGAAGTCAGGAGGACCTGAGTTCAAATCCGGCCTTCGACCAAACACTTGACACTTACTAGCTGTGTGACCCTGGGCAAGTCACTTAACCCCAACTGCCTAAAAAAAAATATATATATATATATATATAATTTCCAGTAGTCCCTCACCCCTGAGTATAACTTGCCTCAATAACTGTTTTCTTACAGAAGCATTTTTTGCTGTGTGTGCTGCTAGAGGCTGGAGGATGCGCGTCCAAAGCCATTGGGCATCCAGGCCCAGATTGCATCTATGTGGACCAGGCCAAAGCCACTCTCCTTCAGTTGGAGGGAGTAGAGGCCAGCCTAGATGAGAGGCTGGCCTCTCCTTCAAACCCCTGCTTGTCTAGTGCGGACTGGTTCCTTCCCTCCTCCCGAGATAAACTGGAAAGCTTGACCTCCTCCCCTCTCCTCACCAAGCTGCAGCACACGTCTAGGGCCATTACGTCTCCTTCCAGCCGAAGAAGGCTGTTTAGTGACTACTCTCTAAAGACACGTAAGCTCAGTCCTTCCAGGGGCAGTGGAGGCTCTGACAATGGTGTGGAAGGCGCTGGGGAAGGCAGTGGCCCCAGCCCACACACGACCCCGGATCCACTCCGAAAGCAGGGAGCGAAGGAAGCTCAGAGTCCTGGGGGCGCGCAAGCCAGCGGTGCCTTGCTCAAGGTATGCATGTTCACTCGAGGCCCTCCTTTCCCTGCTGAGCGCACCTTTCCAGGGATGCCGGAGCACACCTTACTTAAGCTGGGTTGTTTGTGTGTTTGTTTGTTTGTTTTCATCATAGTTAACAGACCAGTGATTTGTAACTCAGATGTCTTTGTAGCAAGAAAGGTTAGCAATTCTGAGGGCCCGGGTGGTCCAGGAATAGTGATCCTTGGCTAAACCTGTTCCTAGATCTGTTCACTTTTCTGGTAGCCCTACATTGTGGATCAGGCAAAGAAAGAGTTGGGTTAGCAGTCTGGACAGAAAAATCCAGAGCAGAGCCGATCCTTCAGACTTATGCCTCGGTCGAGGCAAGCACGGGGCCTGGAAGGCTGCCACATGCCCAGAACTGACCCAGCCCCCATCCCCTCACAGGTGCTTTGTCACGGTTGAGGTCCTGAACAACTGGAAACTTCCAGTGACTCACTGTGAGAAAGGTGCCACCAGGATTTGGTTCCCATGGGCACAGCCCAGCCGTAAGAGGCCCTTTGTCACTTGTGCCCTGTCTGGCATCTTTCCTTTGTGGAAACACTTTTCCACATTTGTGTTTGGCTTAACCTTAGAACACCTTGGGGAGGTTAATGGAAAAATGAAAAAAAGGAGGATGGCAAAGGGAGGCCTCAGGCATTGGAGGAAGATCCGACAACGAGGGCCTCCTGGGCTGCCCGCCGTGTGAGGACAGGCTCAGGGGCATTGTAGCTGGGGCACAGGAATAGCATCAGAAAACCAGACATGGTAGGCATGAAGTGCAAATCCCAGAGTACCAGAATGAAGCCCAGAAGCAGACTCTCTGAGTTGGGAAGGTCATCCGGCCTTAAGGCCAGTGGGTCCCTCTACCATTTTTCCAAAAGGTAAGGTAGGTTTAGGACAAACAAGGATACATTTATCTCTGGAATTCTGTGATTCTTAAGTCTCAGTGTCATTATTCCCCTCGCACCCACACCTATCCTAATATTTCATGATTTGGTGAACTCCTGCACACAATAAATAATAAACTTGTGGAAGTCATTTCAAAAGTTAGTACTGCAAGGAAATCTAATGGGTTCAAAAAGGATTTGGACAGATTCCTGGGTTACAAAGCCATGTGGCTCCTAAGAAGAGCTATAGCTACTTTAACGTGGACTTTAAAAAAACCGTGCCTTCCCACAGCTCGGTACCTGGGCCTGCTCTGTGGTTCTTTACTTGGCTTTGGAATACTGAGCCAAATGTACCATGGATATCTGACTTCCTATGTCTGTCTCTCCATAAAGTCTACTGTAGTTGTTTTAGCTAAGAATAAACTGAGGCACCTAATTTAAAATAGTAGTCTTAAAAAAGAAAATCTCATTCAGTTTCAAATACCTGTCGAAAATTAGAGAGTGTTTCTGTTCAGTGTGACTATAATGTGTTGTCTTTGTGATTCTTAATGCTGTCTGATTTTGTTCAAGAGAGGAACCAACTAGATTTCGGAATACTGTTTGTTTTCCAGGCCACTAAAAAGAAAGCTACTCTTCCAAATCCTTTTCATTTAGGAAGGTTGAAAAAGGACCTTTCAGAAAAAGAAATGGAACTGTTTGATGCCATGAAGTAAGAAACATGTTTAATATTCATTTTCATTAAACTTTCTTTTGAGTGAGAAAATTCCTGAGAAAGCAGAATTCAGAAGGATATCTAGCTTTTTTAAGTAATTACAATTATGTCATGATTGATAATAGCAAGTAACGTAATCTTTAAGACACAGTTTATTGTTTCCCACCACCAAGCATCTTGTCTTATCAGTGATACTTTTTCATTCATTCATTCAACAAACATGCAGTAATTACTTGCCAAGTTATGTGCCCCTTCGCTGCATGAAGTGCTGGGAATACAAAATGAATAACCAAATGGTCAGTCGTTGCCTTCAGGAAGCTTATATTCTATCAGGCTGTAAGCAATGCAAAATGTATGCAGAGTAGATGTAGCCTGTTTGTGAGGAGCAGGGCCCTGCCAGCTGAGGGCATCAGGATGGGCTTCCAGTAATAGGTGGCCCTTGAGCTGAGGCGGGGAAATCTGTAAGTCAGAGAGGAAGGGGAAAGGATCAGAGACAGGGGGCCTTTTGTGCAGAGGTCTGGAGAGGGCGGGTCATGGACAGGGAATGGCAAATAGTCCAATAGGGCGGAATGGCAGAGTACAAGGGGAAGATTATGAGCCCCAAGCCTTCATGGAGCCGATTAGAAAGGAGGTTAAAAACCAAAGAGAAAAGTGTGTATTTTTCAGAGAGGCAGTAGGGCGCCCCTGAAGGGACAGACACAAAAGAAGTGCTTGAAGGGATGAGTTTAGCCAGGGGCGGGGCCGCACACCCTGTAGGGGAGGCTGAAGCGGCATCTGGCAGTTCTGAGTCGCTGCAGTGCTGGGGTAGACTGCTCAGATGTCCACACTGAGTTTGGTGTTAATACAACAAGCCCTCAGGAACTTCTTTTTAAAAAAAAATCAATTGGAGGGATGGAAATAGGGTAAGGCCTAGAGACGCCCAGAGATTCCTCAGTGCTTTGCTGTGTGCTTGGGGTAGCGAAACTCCAGGTTTCCATTTCTATCGGGAGAGGCTGTGGCCGAGCCCAGAGGAGAGGTCAATGGTAGGCCCACTCTTCCACAATCTGACCCCATGCCCAGCCCAGAGGAGCCAGCCCTGTTAGACGGTCCTCCTAATCCACCACCTGCCCCACTCCAAACATGCTTACACGTTCAATCAGATGACGGAGGCCTGGGTCTATGGCCTTTTTCCCTGAAGCACCCGTGGTGTAGACTGTTAACAATCATTTATCTCATAGTTCCAGTAAAGATGGTGACCTGAAAAGCTGTAGAACAATCCAGCTGTGTCACACACACACACACACACACACGGACACGCTCCTTCCATCAAGACCAGAACTGTACTAAAAGATGTCCAGAAGAGAAAGGAGATTGGGGAAGGGGGTGCACCAGGGAAGCTAGTACAAACCTCAGTAAATGGACCTCTAGCCTATGAGCACTGGGAAAGTCCACGAAGGAAGAATATGAGTAGACAAAAGAAAACACCAAGCACAATGAAGAAATAATGTGGGCTGAGAGAAACCCAAGAGGTAAACCCAAAGACAGTAATGTCACAGCAAGCCGAGCCACAGAGGGAAAAAATGGTTTAGCCAGGGGCAGGTAGGTGGTGCAGTGAATAGAGCACTGGACCTGGAGTCAGGAGGACCTGAGTTCAAATCTGGCCTCAGACACTTGACACTTACTAGCTGTGTGACCCTGGGCAAGTCATTTAACCCTAATTGCCTTGCCAAAAAAAAAAAAATGGTTTAGCCTCAACGACTACCAGAATAGTAGAAAAAATGAAGCAAGAGATCAGAAATGAAACTGAAGTAAGAGCTCTGGAGGAAAAAATTGAAAGTAGTAAAGAATTTAGAACAAAAGATGCAAATCCAAGCAGTGAACTCCCTGAAAATTAGAATGAAGACAGAAGAAAATGTAAACTTTCTGCTATCAAAAACTCACCTGGAAAACAAGTCAAGGAAAAATAATTTTAAGAATTATCAGACTTCCTGAAAATCACGACCAAACAAGAAACCTACATACCATATTTCAGGAAATTATAAAAGAAAAAAACCTAGCACTATTAGAATCAGAAGGCAAAATGAAGAATAGAAGAAAAAAATATCCTGTTTATTTGTTATTTCCTCCAATAGAATTTAAATAGTTTAAGAGTAAAGACTTTGTTTTACCTAGTATTTCAGACACCAGCACAGTACATGGCACATACTTGGTACTTAGTCAAATGCTTATTGGTTTTTTCTTCTTATTGTCTCTATAGTCTCGGAGATAGTAAAGGCAAATATGAACCAAGTGAGTCTTTAATTAGGAACCATGGTAGGAAAAGAAATATTTAATCAACTTGTATTGTTTGACAGAGAGATTAAATTATTGTTAAATGAGTTGAAATGACACCAGTATGATTTCCTCTAGTATAGACTAAACTTTAGTTTCTTGTATGATTAAAATGACCTGATAATTTGAGCAGCATCAATTAAAGGGGAAGAGAGAATTAACTGCCTAGTTGAAAGAAATTTACTTATTTCCCCTTTTTTATTTTTCAAGGTTGACATCTGGCACTGAGAATACACTTTTTCACTACGTTGCCTTAGAAACAGTGCAAGGAATCTTTGTTACTCCAACTCATGAAGAAGTAGCGCAGCTCCATGGTTCTATCCACCCTCAACTAATAAGGAATTTCCATCGCTGCTGTCTTTCTATTCGTACAATCTTCCAGCAGTCCTTGAAATGTGAGGTATGTTGGTGCTTGTTTGTGGCCATAGTTACCTTTGCTTCTCACAGTTCACAATATTCTCCCTAGTAAAGTGCTACAAGAGCAGGGATCGCTTCTCCCCTCCTTACCCCTTCCTTTCTTCCCCCTTCCCTCCAATCCCACTTTCACTACTAAATCCTTTGCAAAAGTGGTATAGATACAATCTGGCTTCTGTCCTCATTGCTGTACAGAAAATGCTCTCTTGAGATTAACAGTGATCCCTGCCCTAATTGTGAACTCCAGTTGTTTTTGCATCAGTCTCCATCATCCTTCTGTAGAAAAGAAGACTAGAAATTAAATCATATTACTAAATAGTGAAAGGCAGTTGAAGAGAAAATGAGCCTGCAAACGGGCTGAGCCACGACAAATTAAACCAAGGACATTTGTAGATAGAGCAAGAAGTGGACAACAGACAGACCTGAAATGGAACAGATCTGCTGAAGTGTTGATAGTGATCTTTCACCATTAGTGACATTGCTACAACCCCAGTACATGGACCTATCGCCATCAGTACCTGAGAAAGGTCAGCAGGCCAACAAGCATTTACTTTGAGTCGGGCACTATGCTAAGTGCTTTACCAGGAGGAAGACAGTGCCTGCCCACAAGGAGCTTACTTCTCTAGGGGCTTTCCCAGAGAGCTGTAGGTGGTGGAGGGAGGGAGATGAAGGTGCCCTGCCTAAAGGCATAGTTGAGAAGGTCCAGGAGAATCGGGCACGTTGCCTGGGGTGGCACCAGAAAGTGACGTTCTGGCGGAAAGAGCAGAATCTAACCCCCACTGGAGGCAACGCGATTTTAAAGGCCCTGGGGGATCGGTTCTCAAGATAGAACAACAAGAAGATGCCAAAAGAATGAAAAAGATCATAAGGGATACTTTTACCCCAAAACCCTGTGGAGAAAAATTCAGCAACCTCCGTTGCGTATTCTTTTTTTTTTTCCTATTTTTATAAAATCTTAAATATGAGACAAGCAGGCTTTCACAAGCGGTTTTCTGTAGTCAACTCCATCTTTATACTCATAAAACCGACTGAGCTGTACCCTCCTGTGCCTGAGAAAGAGATATGTAGAGAGTGTGAGAGCGAGGCAGGTTCACTTGCTGATTTTAGAATAGCCTTAGACTGGCCAGAACCCCGTGCAGCCTTGAAGATTCTCTCCTGAGGAGACGCCTGCCACACATATGTTACACATAGAAGACTCAAGTGACAGAAGGGACCGCCAGTCACTCTGTTCAGTGATCACCTGAGTACTAACAGTAAACCATCACCAAGGCATTTACCATTGCCGCTGAGGTATCTGAGATAATAGCCAAACAGAAAAAAGGCGAGAATGTCTAGTACTTTTATTGCAGGAGTTTTTAACCCAAAGTCCACAAATTCCTATGAACTTGGACAAGAAAATAAAATTACATCTTTATTTCAATATAATTGATTTCCATTGTAATTCTCTATATTTTATTTTATTCATTAAGAAAATTCTGAGAAGGGGTCCCTAGGCTTCCCCAGACTACCAAAGGATTCCGCCATACAAACAAAACTAAAAATCCTTATTTTTTTAAGATAACATTATATAAATTGTACTGAGCCCAGACCCTACAAAGCTTTTTCTACAGCAGCGCAAAAAGATTGGTTTAACCATCTAAGGTGCACTAAGAGCAAAAGACAAGTCACCAAGCAGTAGTCCATCACATTAGTCCATCAGTCTACATCTTACACAGGCACTACAGCTGGGAATTAAACTGAGTCCAGAAATAAGTAGAAGAAGGCGTAATGGTGTGTTTGTTGGTAAATGTTTGACAACCAGCTCTCCAGAGGAAGAAATATACGCATGATACACTTCCAAGTTTAATCAGTATCATTGACATATTTTCCATCACTTTCTTAAGTCTAGACAATTGACCAACAATTAATCAAGCCCCGATTTGTTGTTGTTCAGTTGTGTCTGACTCTTCGTGACCCCATTTGGGGTTTTCCCGGCAAAGATACTGGAGTAGTTTGCCATTTCCTTCTCCAGCTCATTTGACAGATAAGGAAACTGAGGCAAACAGGGTTAAATGACTTGCCCAGGGTCACAGAGCTACTAAGTGCCTGAGGCCAGATTTGAACTCAGAAAGACGAGTCTTCCTGACTCCAGGCCCGGCACTCTATCTACTGTACCACCTGGCTGCCCTGATTTGTAGCTTTAACTGATTTCCAAGGTGTAAATAAATGCTCGTGCTAAAAATTCAACAGTCATCCAAGCTGGCTCCAGCTACTCCTGAGAAAGAGATAAGGAAGGTGGCGTCTGGAAAATGGCATAATGCCTTCAGGGATCCTGGATAAGGCACTGCAAAAGTAAAACCAAAAAAAACCATCATCTCTTAGGAGTTATCTTTGTGGACAATTCCGTATCCACCCATTGGTGTCACCTGGCTAGGAATTGTGGACAGTGTTGACTTCCAGATGGCAATGCCAGCGGCAGGCTGAAGGGGTGCTTCCAGAGGACTCAGGAAAAGAAGCATCCTGGGCACATTCCTGGAAGAATCAGAATTATAGATAACCCAAAGATGCCCCTGCCCCTGCTGGGCGCTAACAGGCTTCAGCGTGCTACCAACAATGTGCATAGGAGAAGTTGTGTAAAATAAATACATTGTCAAGAATGTGTCTGATCCAGAAGTGAGGGGGCCCACTGACCAAGAGGGAGGCCCCAGCCAGCCGGAGAGATTACCTGCTAGTTTGTCAGGAGGGCGGGATTTTTTTTTTCTTAAAGCTGGCTTTTCACAGGATCATAAGAGTCTGTAGATCTATAAGTGACCTCAGAGGTCATGTGTGCCAACCCCTTCATTTTATCACACTGAGAGCCAGAAAGGGAAAGAGTTTAGACTCACCTAAAGTCACAAAGTTAGTAAATAGCAGAGCAAATGCTCCGAATCCCAATCCACACTGAAACTCAGGTCTCTCCCACCTCCCAATGTGAACAGTTTCTAGGCCATCTCTGCAACTAGAGCGTTGTTTACAGTACTATAAAATGACAAAGAGCGAAGCCAAGAAAAGACGTCTGTAGCTTCCAAAGGATAAAGAGCCAAAGGTTCTTTTGTGACTGGGTATGTACAAATAATAAATCTGGTCTCCCAAGAAGGAAAGTTAAACCTGTGTACATCTCTGGGTGTGTGTGTGTGTGTGTGTATGCCAAGCCAGTGAGTTCATTGGCTCACTGGAAACATTTCCCTTTTGATAAGGCAACGTGGTCCTAATTCCCAGATCCTGGGAATTAAGGAGATTTAGCACTAGGTTTGATTTTGTCCCTAACTCATTGGGTGACTTTGGACAAGGCACTTCATGTCCCTGGGCTTCAGTGTCCTCATCCCTAACCTCCCTTACAATCCTAAAATAATATTATTCTCATTGTCATTCACATGTACTATTTCTGTTTAGTCAGAGTATCATAAATATTTAAAACAAAGACTCTAAGATTCAGTGCATAGAATTTCAGCGTTTGTTACAGAAACACTGTGGGGTTTTAGATTTTTTTATTTCATGTTTTAAATTCTGAACTTAAATACCTCAGACAGAGCACACAAACTGAACACAAAAGAGAACTCTATACAAAACTGTAAATCTCCATTTCGTGCCTCTTGCTTTTTTAAAAAGTAGATAATAAATTCCACATACTGCTCATCTGTGCTTCCTTCTGAATTTCCTTCTGTTCGCCTCTATGCATTCTTTCACTGGACCTCTTTTTTGACATCGCTGTTGCTACACACCCCAGCCCTGACTCCTCTCCAAATAAAAACCAAGAGGAAAGAAAGAAGAATAAAAAACCATTGTAACATATGAGCATAGTCGAGCAAAAACAATCAGCAAAGCAGCTCTATCTAAAAGTGTCTGTCTCTTTCTGTACCCTGCGTCCATCCCCTCTCTGCCAAGAGTGGGTAACATGTTCCATCATGGGTCCTCTGAAGAGAAGGTTGGTCATTGCTTTGGTCAGAGATGTCAAGGTGTTCAAAAATGTCTTCTTTACCTTGTTGTTTTCCTTGTTCTCCTCGCTTCATTTTTAATTAATTTAGTTTTAGTTTTCAGCAGTCATTTCCATAAGCTTTTGATTTTTAAATTTTCTCCCCCCTCCATCCCCAAGAGGGCATGCAGTCTCATATAGGCTCCTCAGTTCTTGAAAAGGTAATACAAAGGACCCCACTTAGATCCTGGTTCTTTCCTAGAATGAGATTCTTTCAGGATCAGGGAATTTGTTCTGATTGTGACTGCCCCCTCCCCGGTTTCATCTTCCCTTTTGATCATCACCCCCTCTTCCACGCCCCTTACATGTATTTCCCTGTTGAGCTTTGTATATAACTAGACTTGTCTAGACTCGACTTTGTGTGAGGATACTTCTGCTTCAGATAAGAGTGAGGTTCATCTGTCCCCGCTTCCTTCCCGTCCCATTTATGAGAAGTAACCAAGTTCTACTCCCTTCTTCCTTCTATCTATAGATAGATACTGTCCCTTCTTCGGACCCCCAGAACAGCACTAATCCCCTGCCCCAGACCTCTGTTTCCTTTATTTAACTCCCTTAATACCAGGGAAAGAAAAGGCACATCTGACCATGCCACCCAAAAGCCAAACTAAAGACACAGGGGGTACCAGCCCTGGAACAAACTCTCCGTTTGAAAGGTGGACGAAGGAGAAGGGAACAAGCATTTATCAAACACCTACTATATGCCAGGCACTGTGCTAAGTGCTTTATAAATATAACTGTGAAGGTTATAACAGAACTCTTGCTTCCTCTCCTCCGATTAGAATGTTAGCACCACGTCATCACGCATTTCCTTCCAGTTACACAAATAAATTTATCCTTCCCAGTTTCCATTGACTCTTGTGTTTGGATTTCAAAGTTCCTATTCAGAGCTAGTATTTTCATCAGGAAGGCTTGAAAGTGAACTCTATTGCATTAAAAATCCACTTTTCTCCCTGTGAGGTTTTATCCTTAGCTTTGCAGGCTAAGTTAGTATTCATTCTAAGCCTATCACTTTTTTTTTCTTTTTATTTTCAGTTCCAAATTCTTTCCCTCCCTCTACCCCCTCCCCCACCCCTTGAAAAGGCAAGAAATATAATATCATTATACATATGAAGTCATGCAAAACACATTTCCACATTAGCCGTACTGCAGCAGCAACAAAAAAGGCAAAAAAAATGGGGGAAAATAGGTCTATCACTTTTGCTTCTCCAGGATCTCTTCTGGTTTTTACTAAAAGCTCCTAATTTTTTGTGACCCTAATTATAGTTCCTTGGTATTAGAACTGCTTGTTACAGGATGCTTACAGTAATTTTTTTAAATGTACGAACTCAAGATTTTGGTATGAATATTCCTGGGACTTTTCCTTTGGGGCTTCCTCTTATGTTTACTTTTGATAAATTTGAGTTCCTTTATGATTTCTTGAAATATAGGGGACAATCTTCTTTAAAATCATGGTTTCAAAGGAATCTAATGATTCATAAATCATCTCTCTTTATCATGTTTTGTTTATAGGTCAGTTTTTTATGTCGGCTATCTTCTATTTTCGTTTATTTTTTTCAGCTTTTTAATTTTATTCTAATAGTTTCTATTGTCTCATGGAGTCTTTGATTTTTGTTTGGTCTTTCCTAATTTTCAGAGAGTCCATTTCTTGGGCAAGATTTACTACTTCTGATCTTTATTCTCCTTCCACCTCTTTCCTCCAGGGCTTTGATTCAATTTTTTCATGTCTGGCTTCATTTATTCTAGGTATTCATGTAGTCTATATGGAAAATCAGATTTTTTTTCCCCCTTGAGTCTCTACTTGCATTTGTTACAGAATTATTCTTGGGGAAACTCTTTATTTGCAGTAATTTTTGATGTTGGTTAGTATTTTCTTCGATTTATTTATCTTTTAAGGCAGCTAGGCGATTCAGTGGATAGAGCGCTGGGCCTGGAGTCAAGAAAACTTAAATTCAAATCCAGCCTCAGATGCTTACCAGCTGTGTGACCCTAGGCAAATCACCCTCTATCTGCTTTGGTTTCCTCAACTGTAAAACGGGGGTAATAATGGCACCCTTCTCCCAAGGTGGTTGTGATGATCAAATGGGATAATATTTATAAAGCACTTAGCACAGTGCCTGGCATATAGTAGGTGTTTGATAAATGCTTGTTCCCTTCTCCTTCGTCCACCTTTCAAATGGAGAGTTTGTTCCAGGGCTGGTACGCCCTGTGTCTTTAGTTTGGCTTTTGGGTGGCATGGTCAGCTGTGCCTTTTCTTTCCCTGGGACTTTCTGACCAGGGGACCCCTCCACTCTCACTGCGTCTAGACACAGAGCCTTGCAGGATCCACGCGTCCGTGGCCGTCTCTGGTTTCACGGTAATTCACCAGATTTATCTATTTTGTTGCTTTATCGTACACTAAATAACTGATTCTCTCACCTCCTCCTTTCCCTATTTCCCATTTCTGGCATATACTTTAGAGGAAGGTTGGGTTTAAAACCATGCATTCATTGCAAGGTTGAAATGAGGTGCTATTTCCAACAGTCTTTAAAAAGTGAAATTTGGAAATAACGTTCAGGAGAGAAACAGGAATAATGTTCAAAGTGCTAGGTCTTCAAATACCTTACAAACAGCCGCTTGAAATTGCTTCTGCAAGATACTTGGCCCCTTGTGTCTGGTAGTGCCTGTTCATTGATTAAACATCCCTATACATGGGCAGATAATTTGCTTTTTATGAATAAATGCTTCTCTCATTAACTTCCAGAAGAAGAAGGCCCTTAACGTTGAAGGCAATCCCCGGTCTGCTCATGCTGCATCCTTCCTCAGTCCTGTGAAAGAACATGGCGTGTTGTTTGAATGTTCCCCTGAAAACTGGACAGATCAGAAAAAACCGCCTCCAGTCATGGCTTACTGGGTTGTAGGGTAAGTGGAAACGATGTCCTGGAAAAATGACTTGGAAACTGGTTTGGATTGCTGGGAGAGGCACGTGCATTGGAACAAAGGAAACTCTCGGCCCGTGTTTACCATAGTGGGCAATTTGTGGGGGTATAAACCCCCACTGGAGAGGCAGGGTAGATATAGAGAAGATTGGAAGTCAGGAAGGAAAGAAGAAGAGAAAGAGGGGAACGGGGCCGTATGACCTCGGGCAATGCTGTACTCTCTCAGGCTCAAGAATGTGCAAAGAATGTGCTGCCAAACTTGGAGAGAAAGAGGTTCCCCCCGCCCCAGTGGAGTACTTACTCCCAGGGGTCGCCCTTGATCCTGGCACCCCCCTGTCGGCAGTGGGGAACCAGCAAAGATTGTTGAGTGAGGACATAACACAGACAGCTTCTGTGTGAAGATGAATGTGGGGGTCCTCTACAGAAGACAGATGAGGGGGAGAGAAACTGGAGGCAGGAGGACGCTAGCAAGTTGTTCCCATAGCCCAGAAGAGAGGTGATTGGAATAGGAATTGGAGGGGTGTTCTGGATTAGAGTCACCCAGTCATCTGCCCCCACCCCTCCCTGAGAGGCCTCCAAACTGATACAAGGACGTTTGATGGAAGGAGTGCAGGTTTAAAAGACCTAAAGCTCGGTGGCCTTGTCCCAGGACGAGTACCTCAGGATCTCAAGGCCTCGGCTTCCTGGTATATAAATTAAGGAAATGGGACCAGAGGAGCCCTGAGCTCTGAATCCATCTGTAACTGGACTTCTTGTTACAACTGGAGTGATTAAAGTCTTGAATGTGACTGGTGGTCTTTAAAGAAATCCAAATAAAATTTTAACCTCCCTCCTACCATCAAACTGACCGCATTATTGCAGTTGGCTGATATTGTACAGTTAAGGCCAGGGACGCAGCCCTAATCAAGGGAGTGTCAAGCATCCTCCCTCGTTAACATGATGAAGTTTGGAGGGGGCCGCTCAACACCATCATTTTTATCACAAGTGAAATCATGCTGCCTGTTTAAGGAAAACCAAGTGCTTATTAATAAATTTCATTAAAAATGGGTCTTTTGCCCTCCAGAGCAAAGAAGAGAATCGAGCCAATATAGAAGCAAATTGTCCCAAGGAAGTATTTGGGCCCCAGCCCCCTTCCTCTTGTGTAGTGGCTTTTTGGGCCGAGATAAATCCTTCAGCACACAAGCTGAGTTGAGTGAACAGGAACTCAGTGAGTCCTTCCCAAGTTAGCGTGGGCTTCTTTTTCCTTACAGGAGACTCTTCTTAGAGCCCAAGCCTCAAGAACTCTACGTGTGTTTTCACGACTCGGTCACTGAAATTGCCATCGAGCTGGCATTTAAACTGTCCTTTGGCTTGGCCACGTAATGCACCTTCCTGGTCACCCAGGGACGCTGCGGAGCATGCATCATTAGAAACACTGAAACCCACCCGGAAGTCACTGGCCACTCTCATGAAATGCAGCCTACCCTCCTTGGTCGGACTGGACTCTCGGAAGGATACCTTGTGTGTACAGGAAGATGGAGTTGTTCATTTATTGTCATTATGTTGTAAGTCATTTTGCTAAACGAGTTGGTTTGTTGTATATTTTGAAATAATGTGTACAAATTTTAATATTGAATTGCCTTCTGGAAGAACATATCATGGAAAACATCCAAAATCGTAGTGTATTTGTTTTGTGGCTCATATTGATGGGAAGGGTTCAAGAGAAGGAGCCAGGTGGCCTGTGCTGTGGTCCTGGCTTTGCCCCCAGCAGTAAGTAGCAGGCCTCCCAACAAGGGACCCAGAGAGGCTGTTATCGTGAGAGTAAATCTCAGGATTGAGTTCAGTGGATTCTAATGTGCCTTCCAGCTCCAGTTTTCAATGGCTCTGTTTTCCCATCATCTTGAATATTGGTCATTTCCATCCAGTCTTTGTCATGATGCAAGTATTGAAACCTCAGCAGGTCTAATCTCCTTTCCCCTGCAGTCAGGAAATGGTCAGAGCGATGTCACATGTAGCACTCGCCTCTTCAGCCATTGGGCTTAATGAACTGGCTGCTCAGGAGCAGATTTCTTCTGTTTCCTGAGATAAAATATCAATGTATCCTGTTTTCACACAATCAACACATTCCTAAAAAGCCAATCAGCTTTCTGAAAACCAAATTCTTTATTACATCCAGTATGATTCCCATTTATAGGAACCTTTTGGTGAATCCCATTGATAAAATTAACCCCATTGGTAAAAATCATCCACCCTTGATTCATCGGTTGTGCAAGTTTGCATTTGGGTTTTCTTTAATTAAGACGTTCTTAAAATATTTTAGGATTCATCTTACCCTTTAGTAGAAAAGAGTATTAAGAAATCTTGATGCTAGGAGAATTCCCCCCAGATGAGAAAGCCTTGTGTGAGGCAGTGGAGGGGCCTGGCAAAGGTGGCAGCCCTATGTGGCGGTGTGGCCTGTGTGTAGCCCCCTGGGGGCTCAGGGAGGGCCTCCAGGTGTGTTTCCTCACAGCCTGGGACTGGAGAAGGCCTACCAAGACCCCCAAACTGGACTCTGTATCTCCAGCAGCCCCACCTCACCCTGCTCCACCTCTAGAACCTTAGGTTGGGAGATTTTATTGCTAGGAGCAAAGCTTAGAGATTATCCACTTTATTCATGCATTCAGATTATTTCATGTATCTCACGTATTGTATTTGCGCTCTTAGCACCTGGGACATAGAGGGATCTTGATACATGCTTGTCAGTGTGTTGACTGAGGAAGGCTGACACTCATAGAGGGTTAAGTAAGTTGTCTGATGCCACTAGCTGGCAGATGTCAGGGTCAAGGTCCTTCCTTCAGAGGAATGCATTGTCTGCACCATGCTGTGTGCCACGGAGCTGTAGATGAGAGCCAGGCAGAATCCTCCCCTCTGCCCCCAGAGCTGAGACCAGAGATGCATGAACTTCACCAGGCATTTTGAACTAACTGCAGCATTGGGCCACGGGAAAGGGTCTCGTAGAGGGAGAGCCCTGGGCGTGGAGGCAGAAGAGATATGAATTACCCACACTCACAAACACGCGGCCACTTAATCGCCCCGTATAACCATGGGCAGTATCACTTTGAGCCTGTTTCCTCTTCTCTAAAACTGGGGTAACAATCCCTTTGCCATTTACCTCTCTGGGCAGTCATGAGCATCGAGTGAAATCATATTTGTAAAGGGTTTTCTACCCTGCAGAGACTAAATAAAGGTGAACAGTTATCATTCTAATTGTATCTGTGAGAATACTTTTTGAAAAAAAAATTTTATTTAACGAAATTTTGTTCTTCACAACGGCTTTTGGAAACAGAAAGAAAAAAAGTATCCCTGTTTGCATCCAGGTGCAGCCCAGTATGTGAGGGCACCTTTAAAAACACAGCTGGCATCTTTTTGGGTTTTGATTCCAAATGGCCAATGAAAGGGCTCCTCTCTGAGATCCCTGCCCTGCGGATGGCTGCCTGCATTTACCCCTGAAACCAAGAACCTTTGACAGTCAAAGCCAGGCTGCCGCTATGGTTAACCCAGCACTTTATTCAAAGAGAAAAAGGGTCAGTTTGTCAGTGTACATTCTAGCTGAAAAAAAGAGACACGTGATTCCTTTGGGCAATGTGAAAACATTCTCAGACTGAGATATTCCATACCCCAGCAGGTCCTTGGACCTCCAAGGAGGTGACTGCATATAAATGCACTGCAGAACATTCTTTTTTTAACTCATAGCTTTACATACGAGGTACCGCTGAGCATAGATGAGGATTTTTCCATCCAAGAATAGCAATTACTTTATGTCTTTATCCTACGTCTCTGAACTACTCCCTGGAAAGTCATGAGCCCTGAACCACACAGGTCCTTGCTTTTCATTTGGGCTTTGGAAAGACTGATAAATATGTAGGAGCCTAGAAATGAGCCCATCCTAGAGCAACGCAGAAGAGGAACGAGGCCGCGCTTACAAGTTGGTACCATCGCTTTGGCGGTTACAGCACACACAGGGGTGGTTAATCACTTGTTTGTCACTGATGTAAGGGTCTCTGGCTCCATGGACCCTGGTGAAGATTCAAAGAGTCAGGCCAACTGGATTTCTTGTGCCACCAAAAGATGTAAACAAGTGAAGGACTGTTTCTCTTTTATCCTTAGTACCTACAAATGATGTGGAATGTAACCATCAGGTAAACTTTTCAAAAATAAAAAACATAATAGTTTTGATATTTTCATGTATATTTAATAGAAAAGTGGCATTTTGAAGAAGTTATAAATTGTTACCTCTAAAACATGTCTTTCTGTGTGTGAAGTAACTTAATTTTGCATAGCTCTATTTCTCTAACCTGTATGAAAGGCTATTTTTATATTTTCTCAATTGTTTTTAATAAAGATAGGTTGGAGATTTGTTCATCAAAAATGCGCTTTCTTGAATTTCATTTTATGTCTTCTTAATCTAAATTGTATATAAAACAACAGTTTGGGCGTATTTCTAGAAACAACAGAAACTAACTGATCTGAAGCTACATGGGGACAGCCCGATGGCTCAGTGAATAGGGCCTGGAGACAGGAGGACCTGAGTTCAAATGTGGCTTCAGACACATAGTGGCTGAGGGACCCTGGGCCACTTACTTTGCCACTGTCTGCCTCAGTTTCCTCAACTGTAAAATTGGGATAATACTGCTTCTGACTCCCGAGGGTACTGTGAGGATCAAATGAGATATTTGTAAACCTAAGATTTTGCAAACCTTAGAGCACTATAAATAAACAGTTAACTTTCTGTATTTCTAAATAAAGTAAAAGCTTTCACACTTTTTAATCTTCCCACTCCCCCGCCCATGTTTTTAGTGTGCACTGTCTGCTGACATGAGACATGTCTCCTAGTTTTAATGCCTGATCTGAGTTCATAATTCACCTGACGTGTATTTACACAAATAAGGCATTAAGGGAGGCTAGCGGTGTCAAATATATATAGAACTGGGGGCCACTAAGCATTACTTAAGGATCTCTATGGTGGCGTGTTGACTTAGAAAACCACATATTAACATTATCTATGTTCCACTGTATTTTTTTACTTATCATACTTATCATAAAATACTTTGTCAGATATTTCTCAGTTACATTTTAATCTGGTTCTGGTCATACTGGGCAGCAGTATGGTACATGGGTCCAGTGTTTGACACCTCTGCTCTGGCAATTCTCTGAGATTAGAAGTTGTAGAACAGTTCTCCCATATACTCTCACCTAAACCTCCCCACCAATGAAGTCAGGACTGGACCAAAAATGGATTTGGAGTGGGGAGGACCGAGGCGAACAGGGAAGGAGTAACTGAGAAGACTTCCTCAGTGCTAAGAGTTGGGCCGTGGCATGTTCATTCTTTCTCACCATTGCCACAGTCAGGTGAAGTGCTGTTTGTTAGCAATTCCTTATCCTCTCTTTCTGTGGGAAAACACAGCTATCCCAGTGGGCTACTTGCAATAAACAACATGGCGCCCGTCATCCGTGGTTGATAGAGAGCAAAGGAAAATAAAGCAAAAACTTGGTATAAAAGAGCCTCTAGTAATAATACCTTTTTATATATATAAAAAAAAAAAGATGGGCTTCAGCAACAGGTTAAACTGTCAGCAGAGGAAACCATAAAGAAAGTCTAGGACGTCAAAAAAGGAGTTTCCATATATGCAGACGTTCTAAAAAAAAATTAAAATTAAAAAAAAAGAAACCAATTGTGCCATCAAAAGAATGTGTCTGGGAACCTTAGGAGAGAAGAAAGAGTTAAAACAGGCATCTTGGGTTGTGCAGGGGGTTGGAGTCAAGAAGACCTGAGTTCAAATCTAGTCTCAGATACTTACTAGCCTTGTAACCCTGGACAAGTGACTTAACCTCTGCCTCAGTTTCCTCAACTGTAAAATGAGGATCATAATAGCACCTGCCTTCCTAGGGGGTTTTTGAGAATAAAGAGAGATCATACTAATAAAGTGCTTTGCAACTATTGAAGCATCATATAAATGTGAGCCCTTGCTCTTTGTTGTTAAGTTTAGGAAAAAGAGGACTTCAGGGCATATTTATGCTAAGGTGGAGTGGGCTCCGGGTCCTCGAAGGGAGCTGGACAGCACTCTTGCTACCCTGAAGATTTCCTCCCCAAAGCTCTGCTGCCTCACCCTTTTTCTTGCTCTCAGATGAAAGGATTTACACTCGGTAAGACCTTGTGGCTCACCAATCTGACCTCCTCATTTCTCAGGATCTCTCTCAGGATCAGAGATCGACAGGTAGAAGGGACCTTCAAAGTCATCGAGTCCAGCCCCTAAGTCTTACAGTCGAGGGAAATAACCAAGGTCACAAAGGCGGTTCGTTCAACATTCCCAACCAAGTGATCAGGGTTGTGAGACTAGAGAGGAGGAAAATTCTAGGGAATTCTTGAAGCCAGAGAATTAATGTCAGTGAGATGCTGAGAATGAGAGTGGAGTCAGAGGTGATCCTGAGATTCCAAGCTGTAAGTCACTTAAACGGGTTCTTATTAAGCACCTACTATGCACAAAGTTCAGCGGATTCAAAGATGGGGAAAAAGAATCCTCATCTTACAAATGCTGATAAATGCAGCAACATCTGAAAGCATTGGCCATTTGGGCTCTTTCTCCTGTTTTGACCGTGGTCTCCTTACTATGTAGGTAAAAAGTCAGAAGCTCTTAATTCTGTTTTATCTGTTTCACTCTGATTCTGGAGGACAAAGAAACAGGGAGCTCCATGGAACTTTACCTTCACAGCAGACGTCTTTGAAGAGAAGATTGATCATCTCGTCAGCAGGGCAATATTCCTTCTCTTTCTTTGCTAGAAGTTGGGAAATCTACATGGTTCTGTATCAAGGTGGGCCCAATTGGTCCCAAGAGTAATATCCGTCATCGTCCTCCATTCAGGAACAATGGTATGCCTTGTATTTGTAGGGTTATCTGTTAAAGGCAAGAAGTGAGGAGCCTCTTTGTAGATACACTCCATCTGTCAAAATCACCCAGTCTGGATCTTTCTTGCTGTTCATTTCTCTCCTTTCTCAAGGATTTCAATGCCTCCTTAACTGTTTTCCTCTTTGCCCCAACACCTACACTTCAATGAAAAGAGTGCCAACTTTTAACAGATTCGGGCTATTGAAGCCTCATTAATAGATAATTGTCTTGTTAACACATTCCAAACCAGACCTAACCTTAGCTGAGGATAGCTGGATAATGTTGCCTGCAGTGTCTGCAGAGAAGATAAAGATCCACAGTGCTCCCTGCTCCTCTGTCCTCCAGAATCAGAGGTGAAATAGAAAAAAAAAAAAACAAAAACAAAAACAGAATTAAGGGCTTTTGGCTTCCTACCTACATAGTAAAGAGACCATGGTCAAGAGGAAGAACCCAAATGGCCAGTGCCTTCAGTTGGTGCTGCAATTGTAAGACAAGAATTCTTCCTTGCCATCTCTGAATCCACTGAACTTTGTGCCTAGTAGGTGCTTAATAAGAACTTGTTTAGGTGAAGTACAGCTTAGAATCTCAGAATCACCTCTGATTCCTCTCTCACTCTCAGCATCTCACTGATACTAATTCTCTGGCTTCAAGAATTCCCTAGAATTCTCCTCCTCTCTATTCTCACAATCCTAATCAATTGGTTGGGAATGTTGAATGAACGAATACATAAATAAATGTATTTATTAAGCATTTACTATGTGCTAAGCGCTGTGCTAAGAGATACAAATAGCAAAGACAGTACCTACCCTAAAAGAGTTTACTTACATTCTAATAGGAGAAGATAAAGCACTTAAGAGAAGACTATTTTGGTTTGCAAAGGTATAGAGATAGTGAGCAGAAAGCTTCTCCCCAGTCAAATATCCCCAATTCCTTTAATCAGCCCTTGGATAGCCTGTTTTTAAGACCCAGACACGTTTCAGCTGCAGTATTCTTTTTAAAATAGCATCTACAAATGAAAAAGATTTCATCCTGATAACATTTTAGAAAATTGGTCTCTTCAAACATAATTGCTTAAAGTGTATTTCAATTTTCAAATTGTAGTTATCAACCAAACCTCCCATACCAACAACTGAACACATACAAACTAGCCCAAATGCTCCGGCAGGTGAGCTATGTTCTGTCTTAGTCATCTTCCTGTCCCCCACAGCTTCTAGAAGCAACTCAAACAGAGGAGATACTGATAAATCTTTTGAAAATTGAATTACAGAAGAGCAATTTGGGGAAAATATTAGAAATAGGCAACAAGGCATGGCCATCCTCATTTTCACTTTTAGTTTTTAGAGATGCCACATTTTGCACTCATCTATTTAAATTGTTTTTACCTTTTGAGATTTGTTTTTAATTGAATGAAATGGAAGTAGATATTTTACAGCATTTGGAGGGGGAGGGTGACAAAAGGGGAAAAATTCTGTCTTTTTTGGGAGAAAGTCCCTCATTTCCCTCAAAACATTTGCTATTTTCCAAGGACTTTTTCAATGACGACAGTCTATAATTTGACAGTAAAAGGTTTTTGTTTATTAAAAATGACTCAATTCCAAACTCCCTGGTCAAAATGAGGATGAGGATGATGACAATAACTAATGACAGAACTTTATTTAGCACTTTTACATTTACATTTACAAAGAGCTTTTCCCTAGCAGCTAGCACAGTGCCTTTATATGTTTTTCCCCTTCTTGTACTCTGTTGTTGTTAAGTCATTTTTCAGTTATGTCCAACTCTTTGTGACCCCATTTGGGGATTTCTTAGCAAAGTTTTCCAGTTCCTCTCCCTCCCATTCTAATTCCCTACCCCCACTTGAGAATACGAGAAAAATTAAACCCATTACAAACACGTATAGTCAGTCAAGACAACTTTCCACATTGGTAATGCCAAAAAAAAAAAAATTGTCTCATTCTGCATCCCAGGAGCGCTTTACCTTTCTCTCAAGAGGAGGTAGGTAGCACGTTTTGCTGGGCAAATTATGCTTGGCTGTAATATCCTTTGCCGTCTGAAACATCAAATTCCAAGTTCTCTGCTCCTTTCTTTCTGGTGAGGCAATTGGGGGTAAGTGACTTGCCTAGTGTTAAGGGTCTGAGGTCAGATTTGACCTCTGGTCCTCCTGACTCCAGAGCCAGCGCTCTATCCACTGTGCCACCTAGCTGCCCCATCTTTGCCCCTTTCTAGTGGTGGCTGCTAAACCATGTGTGTTCTTTACTGTGACTCCTCAGAACGCTAATTCTTTCTTTCTGGCTACTTGCAATATTTTTCCTTTGACCTGGGAATTCTGGATTTTGGCCATTATGCTCCTGGAGTTTTCACTTTGTGGTTTCCTCCAGGAGGCGACTGATTAATTCTTTCTATTTCCACTTTGCCTGCTGCTTTCCAGAGTTCTGGGCAGTTTTCTTTTAAAATTTCTCAAAATAGGATGTTTAGGTTCTTATTTTGGTCATAATGTCCAGATTGTTGAGTGATTCTTAAATTTTTTTTCTCCTCAATCTGTTTTCCAGGTCATTTGTTTTTGCTATGAGATACCTTATATTTTCTGGGGCAAACCAAAAAAAAAGAAAGAAGAGTGGCATTGTTTAACATATTTTTGCAAACCTCTTTCACGTCTGGCACAAAAGACAGATTCTCATATCTGCTTCTGCATCTCATCTGTTACAGTATGTTGTTTTGGATAAAGTATATGAAGAAAACCACTCTCACACAGATACATAGTTTGAAAAGGGAGGAATATTTTAAAAGGCAATTAAGATCCTAGTGATTTATGAAAATAGTTTTTACCCTAAGGACACCCTGCATGTGTGTCCACACTTAGACCACGCTTTAAGAACTGATGAGGTAGAAGACAGCTATTTATTTTCTCCACCACCAAAAAAAAAAATTCTTGAAACAAATCCAAAGGACATTAACATATACTTCCCACACAATACAGTATTCTCTCAGGAGGTAAAGACAATTTTATAGGACTGCTGAATAGATATTGTACATTCACTTTGGATCCATACTGTCTGAGTAACTCCCCAAGTCAACATCACCTGGCATCTTCCCTGAGAAGTCATTGCAGAAATGACTTCCTGCCGAGCAACTACCCTCTGAAACTCACAAAATCTCACACTGAGGGGGGTTAGAAACAGTCATTTCATATAAGATCAAAAGTCATTTTCCAACAGATAAGTAGTCAACAGATGTGAGCAAACACTTCTCAAAAGAATTCCAAACTACTGACAAATGTGAGTGGAGGCAAATGCTCTTTTGAGGGAATTTAGATCTCTTCCCCAAAGGGAAAGATGACCAGAGAAGGCAAAGGCCAGTTCTTGAGATTTAAATTCCACTTTTCCCTGAAAGGGAAGAAAACCAGAGGAAGATAATACCTGTGAAAGTAAAGAAAGGTTTTATTATGCAGGTAAGAAAAAAATAACATCTGCATGGGTACTATCCAGCCTGTGCCAAATAGGAAGTCAGGTAGTGAATGGGAAGAGTTTATATACCTTTTAAACAAAAGAAGGTAAGGAATTTGGGGAGAAAGGTGGGCTTAGAAAGAATGTCAGTGGGCCCCATCCCCGAAGGGAGGGGGAGTGAGGAATTCCAGGTGTCAGGGCAGTGGCCCTGGATACTCAAATCAGAAGGCATTCTTGGTGATAAGCAGTTCATAGTTCAAAGCCTGTTGGGGCAGCTAGGTGGCGCAGTGAATAAAGCTCTGGCCTTGGAGTCAGGAGGACGTGAGTTCAAATCCAGCCTCAGACGCTTGTGAGCTGAGTGACCCTGGGTGAATCACTTAACCCCAACTGCCTCACAAAAAAAAAAAAAAAAAAAAAAAAGCTTGTTAAAGGGATATCTCCAAAAGCAGGATAAGAGCCCCATGACCAAACTTAGGAGAGTCATTGGAGATAAAGTTGTTTCATAGTCTATAACCTGCAGCCAGGAAAGTGTCTGAAGATAGGGATGTCTCTGAAAGGTCCATAAACCACCAAAAGGTTCAGGGTCTGCTTCAAAGCTGGTATGAGCTTAATTGGCTTCAGAGCTGCTGATTTTCCACACACCCAGCTAGGTTTACCGCAAAGGATTGTTGGTATGTCAAGCAATTATGCTTCTTAGTCAATACCGCTGGTCCTCATACAGCAATACCTCAATATACAGCAATAACTGAGGGCTCAAGCAAGTCAAGGTAGTTAGTATCCTCACTTACAGATGCACTCACACACAAGCCTATGAAAGAATGCTCCAAATCTCCAGTGATAAGAGAAATATCAAAACAACCCTGAGCTTTTATCTTACACCTTGCTCATTGGCAAAGAAGACAAAAGATGGGGATAGTCAATGTTGGAGGGGCTGTGACAGGATAGGAACACTAGTGAATTGTTAGTGGAACTGGCTAAAGCCAGACTGGTGGGGTGGTAGAATTAAGGGAAGACTTTTTGACATTCCTCAGATGGAAAGCCAACAGGGAGTTTGAGCTGGTTATTTGCTCCAGGATTCTCTTGATTTCAGACTGCAGGCATGTAAATCTCCCCTATCAATCAGACCATTGGGAACCCTCTAAATATAACTTAGTGTGACTTAACCTGACTTAGTTTACCTGTAGAGTCCGTTTAACCAGATTTGTTTCCTTAAGGGATGTAGGAGATTATGATTCTGCTTAACTAAATTTGTTCAACTTTTATGACATGTAAGGAAACGTGGGATTAGGAATCTTTCTTTTTTGACTTTCACGGCCTAAGAGGCTGGAAAAAATTGCAATATAGGAAAGGATTATTTCTGTCTCGCTGACATAATTTTGTCTATAAAAAGTCCCGTTAGAATACTAGCTTTTGTTCAGGGTTACTTTTCCAGCCTGGGCTTGAGGGTGAAACCCAGGTTTTTTTGCTCTACCATCTCTGCGTTGGGGCAGATTGAGTTCAGCAGCAGTAACAACGCAGGAGCTCAGAAAGGAGCTCTTTCTGCCACTGCACCTTCGGTGCATCACTGCTGCTGACGGGAGGAGGGTCCCCGGGAGAGCTGGGCTGGGCTGGGCTGGGTGCCAGCGGGGCTGCCTCGCAGGAAGCCCGGCATGGAGCCAGCCCGATTGCCGAGGAGCTCAGGCTGCAGCCTGGAATCAGCTGCTTCACAGTTAGGGGAAGGGTTGCTGGACCACAGCTCCGAAAGGATGCTGCGCGCTCCCTGCATCTCTGCACACCCAGCCCTCCCGCTGGTCTTGGAGGCCGCTCTCTGTGCACGCGGGGGCTTTGCTTCCTCCTACATTTGGGGGTCCGGACCTGGGATTTCTCGGGTGCAAGGACTGGTGCTAAGGCACCTCCAACCCGAGCCCAAGCCTGCAGTAACGGGCCGATGCTACCCACAGGGATCGATTGCTTTTGTGGTGGTTTGGAATGAAGAAAGTGCAATAGCGGGTGTGTGCAGGTGCTTGGCTGGTGCATGTGCGTGGGGAGGCGGGCGGGTGTTAAATATTTACCACCGCCTCGGCGCAGGCCAGGCCCCTCCCCAGCACTGGGGGGAGGGGGCCGTCTCCACGCCTAGCACGCCTTACACTTGTGGCCTGGCGCTTTAGGCAGCCCTTCAGACTGGCCTCAGTTTCCCCCACTGTCCAAGGAGGGAACGGGGCTGTGTCTTTGCTCTTATGAGATGACCCCCCCCCACCCACCACAGCACCGCCCTCCCCTCGCGCGCGTGCGCACCTCAGTCGCACGTGCGCGCAGCAGCCCGGCCCCGCTCTAGCCCCCCTCGCGCCAGCGCCCCCGGATCGCGCACGTGTATGCGTACGTGCAGAGCCGCAGACCACGTGGCTCCCGCGACGCCAGGGAGAGGCGGGCAGTTGGAGGCGCCTGCGCGGCGGGGCAGCCAGACCGTCCTGTGCGCATGCGCGGCCCTCTCCCGCCCCAGCGTGCTCCTACTTCCCGCCAGCGCGAAGCCGGAGCGGAGGCCCTGAGGTCGTTCTCCCCCAGCCGAGCCCCAGAGCCCCGCCGACCATGGTAGCCCAACGCAAGGGCCAGGAGTCCGACAAGCTTCTGGACCTGGCGTCCTTCGGCATGGACCTCCTGGTGGGCGGCGTCGCGGCCGCCGTGTCCAAGACGGCCGTGGCGCCCATCGAGCGCGTGAAGCTGCTGCTGCAGGTGCAGGCGTCGTCCAAGCAGATCAGCCCGGAGGCGCAGTACAAGGGCATCGTGGACTGCCTGCTGCGCATCCCGCGGGAGCAGGGTACGGCCCGGGGCCGGGGCCGGGGCCGCGGCCGGGACGGGACCGCGACCGCGAGGGGGCGGGGAGCCGGCGGGGAGAGTGGGGGAGGGGCGCCGGCGGGGAGAGTGGGGGAGGGGCGCCGCGCGGGGGGGGGGGCCTTCTGCTTGCTGCGCTGTCGTTCCCCGTTGGTTCCGCTTAAACCACTCCGCGTGCGCTCGTGCACATGTTGAAGTTTCTCTTAATTTTCGTATTTGTCGTTTCTTGCATCGCAATAATATTGCACTCCGTTCTACCTCGCTCCTCCTTTTTTACCGCCACACGCGGAAAAATCCGTGTGCGTGTGTCTGTGTGTGTCTGTGTCTGTCCATCCCGGGCCCCCTTGGGATAGGGGATGCAGCCGGTCGTGCGACCCTTGAGGCCCAGGGTAGGAAGTGGAGTGATTTCTTGACCATGAAAGGAATAAACGCGGGTGTATGCGAAGTAGTGTAAGGGCAGGGTAATTTGGGGGAGGAACAGTAGTAGGCCGTGTACCCTTTTAGCTGGAAGGGACCTTCTGGGTTATCTAACCCAAGCCCTTTATTTTACAAAAGGGGAACGAGGGTCCCGCAGAGGGGGAGCAAACGAGGGGTCCTAGGGACCTGGGCTTTGAGAGGGCAGTTGGCTGGCTCAGTGAATAGAGTGCGGGCAGGAGGTCAAGAAGATTCGAGTTTAAATGCCGCCTCAGACACTAGCTTTGTGACCCTGGGCAAGTCACTTAACCCCCGTTTGCCTCAGTTCCTCATCTGTAAAGTGGGGACACGCTGGAGAAGGAAATGGCAAACCAGGCCAGGATCTTTGCCAAGCAAATCTGGTGGACAGAGTCCACGGGTCACATAAGAGTCAGGTTCGACTGAACAACAACAAATAGGTAAATAAAAAGGTACCTGTATTTGAAAGGTAGGGGGAAAGGAAAAGGCAATGCATGGAAGAGGGGGAGGGGACCCAGAAAAGCCTTTGGCAGAGGGTGGGATTTGAGCTGAGTCTCCAAAAGGCCACAGCGAGCAGGGAGATGCTGGTGGGCCTGGGGGACATTCGGGGCAAAGGCTTAGTGTGAGGAACAGCAAGGAGACTGGTGTGATTGGGTCAGAGAGTCCATGGGTCCAGTTTGTGAAGACCTATAAAGGCTGCAGAGAAGACTTTATGTTTAATGGTAGAAATCAGAAGGAGCCTTGAGTTTATCAAGTAAAGGGGTGGTAAGTTCTAACACTTTGAAGGATAGTTTGGAGGGGTATCCAAGGCAGGACTTGAGCTCAGGTGTTCTAGACTAAAAGTTCTGCTTTCTGTTTACTTTGCTACCTCACTGCCTGACTGAGCTTTTGAACCAAAGTGGCTAAGAGGAGGAAGAGAGGCAGTTTTCGGGGAGAGATGGTGAGTTCTGCTTCGGACTTACTGAACTTGAGATGACTCCAGGACCATGCAGTTCAAAATGTCCGATGACCGCTTGATGACTTGGGGCTAGAGCTCAGGCTGGAGACCAAGAATCATCTGATTAGAGATGAGAATTGACCCCATGGAAGCTGACGGGAGAGTGTGTAAAGAGAAGAGGGCCCAGAGAGGGTGTGTTGTTAGTAGGCAAGAGATGAAGAGGGAGGAAGAGAATCGGTCAGAGCCGTCATTGTCCCAGAAAGAAGAGAAGATGGTGATTTTGCTCAGGGGCTTCCAAGAGAGGGCAGGAAGGATGGGGACCCTGAATCAGCCTTTAGACTCAGCCATTAAGGGCCGATTGGTAACTTTGAGGAGGGAAGTTTCAGGTGAATGAAGAGGTTGGAAGGCTTATTAAAAGTAAGAGAGGAAGTAGAGATACACTGATCATAGAGGGTTTTTTCAAGGAGTTTACCTGAGAAGCAGAAGATAGAGAAACATAGCTCTTGGGCATGATAGGATCCTAGTAAGGGTTTTTAGAGGAAGGAGGAGACCAGTGTGATTGAAGGAATCAGCAGATAGATAGGGAGAGAATGAAAGTTCCAGAGATGATAGGGCTAGAGAAGACAGGAAGGGCTAGGATCAAGGGTATGCATTGAGGGCTTGGGTTTGGCAAACAGAAGGGCTGCTTGGATGAAGAGGGGAGAATGTTTTAAAAAAAAGAGAGAGAGAATGGGGAGAAGATCAAGTTCTTGGTGAATGGCCTTAATTTTCTCAGTAAAGTATGAGATGAAGTGAGGTTCTCAGCTAAGGTGGGTGCAGGGGTGTCCCCTAGGAAGCTTGAGGAGAAAAGAGGTTTGTAGTAAGTAGTAGTCACAAGTCTCTAATGCAGGTCTTCCAAATAGGAAGCTGGAAAGGATCTTCGAAGTCGTCTAGACCAGGGCTTTTTAAACTTTTTCCACTCTAGACTCCTTCAGCACTTGTTAAACTGTGGGTCCCGACCCACATTGTCCAACCCCCTTCTTTTGTAAGTGAAGGCCCAGAACTAGATAGAGTGGGTGGAGTGGTGATTTGCCCAAGGTCACACAGCGACAAAGTGAAGATTCAAACCCAAGTACTCTTTTTTTCTCCTAGGCCATCTAGACCAACCCCTTCATTTTACAGAGTAGATCACAAAAAAGTATTCGGCATGGTGTATTGAAAAGACAACCTGATTTGGTATTAGAAGACCGGACTACTACTTGTATAGCCTTGGGAGAGTTACTTAATTTGGTTGGGCCTTCTTTTCCTTGTGTGTAAAATAAGGGGTTAGATTAAATAGTCTGTAAAGCCATGGTTCTTAATCTGGGGTCAGTAAACTTGTTTTTTAATATTGTATTAATAATATTTCAGTATATTTTGTCTCCTGTGTATTGTATGCATTTAATTTTTAAAAGTATCTTTGGTTGTTTATTATTTTCCCCCAGCCACTATTCAGTAATTAAAAAAACAAAACCATCTCTGCACATTCTAACAAAAAAAAATTTCCCCCATTAGCCATGTCCAAAAATGTATGATTTGTTAAAAATTTTAAGTTCATCACCTGTCAGGAAGTGATACGTTTCATTTTCATGCTTTTGGACTTTTGTTTCTCTTCACACTGATCAGAGTTCTAAAGTCTTCCAAAGTTTTTATTTTCTCTAGTGTTGTTCTCACCCAAATTGTTCTCTTACTTCTGCTCACTTTACTCTGCATCGGTTTAGAAAGGTTAGGAGGACAGTGTAAGTAGGATGGTATAGTATGGAAAGAAGAGATCAGGTAAGGCACTGCTCTCCCTCGATTCTTTTTAGCTTAGGGCACTGTATAAAGTCATGCAGTCAGAAGTAGCGAGACCAGAATTCAGACCCAAGTTCCCAACTTTAAACTCCCAGCCCATAGTGGTCTCTTCTCCAGAGGACCCAGGGGAACAATCTCTAGGCCCAGTGCTGAAGACTCCTCCCTCCCCTCTTTTTATGAGTACCTCCCCAGAGGATGTCTTAACCCTCCCACCAGGCCCCCCATGAATGAATGAGTCATTAAGTATTTATTAAGTACTTGGTGTATGCCAAGCTCTGCCTGAAGCTTCAGTAGGGTGCAGCAGCCCGTTGGATAGTGGAGCCTGGAGGTCATCAGGGGGCTGCTGCTGGGTCGATGGCAAGACCTGGAGGAGTACGGTAAATACTAGGGCAAATGCTAAGGCTTTTTGAGAAGTCTGGAGGATTCCACAGCAAGGCAGGTAGCAAACGGTGAGCTCCTCACCTCTTCCCACCAGGAAGCATGCGGGTGGCTCAGCCCCTCTTTGAAGAGGGAGGGGAAGCTTTCCGCCACTGCTGCTGGTTGCACACACAGTGATCCAGTCCCAATATTAAGACTCCTGGCCCCCATCAGGGCCTGAGGTGGAGGAGCCAGGATGCCTTGTAGTAGTCCTATTCTGCCAGCCTCAGTTTCAGCAGAAGGAGCTAGTTGGTGATTGCTTATTGAAGCAATTCATGTGGGCTTGGACCCGAGTCACTTAGCTTCTTTCAGTATTGTGCTTTCCCCTCCCAGTTCTGCATTTATCTGATAACTCTAAGTAAGTGAACTTTCTCCATGTTTGAAAGTTGTCTCTTTGAACATAGCCTTTTTATTATTATAACCATTTTGGATGGAAATGTTCTCAAATGTAATACACCTCCTTAATCATAGTTTTGTGGAACATGTTAACCTTTTCTGGATGGCTAAAAGCCATTCTTAAGAACATTAAATCAGGGCAGCTAGGTGGTGCAGTGGATAGAGCACCGGCCCTGAAGTCAAGAGGACCTGAGTTCAAATGTGGCCTCAGACCAAAACACTTGACACATACTAACTGTGTGGCCTTGGGTAAGTCACTTAACCCCGATTGTCTCACAAATTTAAAAAAAAAAGACAAAACACTTGACCCTTACTAGCAGTGTGACCCTGGGCAAGTCACTTAACCCCAATTGCTAGGAGGAAGAGAAAAGAAAAGAAAAGAAGAACATTATATCCCACCCTTTCTGTATTGTCTCTGCTCTCCCTTGTTGCTCTAAATGTGCTTGATGGCTGCTTCCCACGTGCTGATTGTTTACTTTTAAGTAACTGTACAAGTTAGAGCTGTGTGTAAAGCAAAAGTCAAGTGACTCTAAGATGGAGAGCCTGAGTAACTGCTTTGAGTAAAAGGTATGACCCTTGGATGCATCTCCTGTCATCTGTTTTAGTTGTTCACAACCCATTTCTTTTCTGCATTTTAGGCACTGTTCTGGGATGGCTCATTAAAATTGCTGCATGAAGAGCCTGTGGTTTAGATTCCCAAATATTTTACACATTCTATAGTTACCGTAAATGGAATTTCTCTTTCTATCGTTTCCTGCTGTGTTTTGTTGGCAATACACAGACATGGTGATTATTTACTTGGATTTACTTCAAGTTTTTTTTCTATTGAAATTTTCAACTTTTTTTATTTGACTCTAGGATTTTCTAAGTAAACTGTCAGATCACCTGTAAAAAGTGTTAATTTCGTTTCCTCTTTGCCTATGCATATTCAGTTTTTTCTTATTGCAATAGCTTAAAAATCTTTGACTATATCAAACAGTAGTGGTGAAAAT